CTTCCGCCCGTCGGGCAGGGCAGGATGCACTCCCCTACCCTGCCCTCTTCTTCCTCTGCTTCGGTGGGCTCCCAGGATGGGAAAAACCTGGCAGTGGAAGGAGAGATCAGACCAGAGGTATCAGCATTCGCTCTTTCTCCTCCGCTTCACATACGGAAATCAGTCAGGATTTTTGAGAACTCTCTTCTATCTAAAGCTCTGGTTTTTGAGAGCTCTCACTAGCATGGCCTGGATAGAAAGTGCCCAGTTTAGGCTAGCTATCTGCTCCATCCTAAAGATCCAACCTGGCGTTTAGTTTGCAGGGTAGGTCATTCAACACACCTCGAGAAAACCATGTCGTTCCAACTGCTGTCAGGTGGTTGTGGTCATACAATCCATACGGACATCACCACAGCGTGCGCTCCTCGTGAGTACTAAAGCTGGGCTTAATCTAAGCCCAACAGCAGCATTGGCTTTCAGTGAGAAGATGTACCTGAGGAAGTGCTATGTTTCCAGACAATTCCATAAGATTTATTTAGCTATCTCTGGTGTGGTGCTTGAACCTTATCAGACTGATTTCTCACCATGAGGGGCATTAGGTTCTTCCTGACCTACAGAGAAATTACTGCTGGGTTAGTCTCCAAGCATGGAAACACTGGAGTTGCTGCCTTGGGGAACCATGGCAGATCTTCAGCTTAAAGCTGGAGACTCCAAAGTATTAGTTTTAATTGACAGGTGCACAAATAGCCACGGCGGTTTGTTCCACCTACTGCAACGGCCCGCCTCCATCACGGGTCAGGGTGACGTATCCTGGGGAAGGGACAAGAAATCCTGTGGAAAGTGTAAGAAGATGCAGAGCAGGCCATGACAACTGCCCTTTCCCTTCCTTCTTTTTCAGTTTCCCTTTCTCTTCGTTCTTTTCCCCTTTCCCTAGCACTGCAGCAAATGACTGCCCTGAGGATGGGAGTGCCACGATGGGGCCAGGAGATCTGAAAACTAAACGGGCCAAGGAACCCAAGACGGGCTTAAGTGGAGGGCAGAGGGGAAAGGCTCCTTAGCAAGGCAGCGGCTGGGGCTCTGGGCATCAAACAGCTGCTCCACAGACTGGTTTGCATCATTGGTTTCCCTGACGTTACCTTCTAAGCCCTTTGCCTAATTTGCTGACCCATACATGGTTTTACATCTTTATACGTAGTAAACGCGTAACAGCTTTTTTATAATGGCTCGGTGAATGACACACTGCTGCCCTGTAACTGGGTAGCTGTCCCTGTGCTCACATAGATGTGCCTGATTATAGATCAGCCTTTCAAAAGTAATAAAATGAAGTGGCATTTTATGTAACTCAATGGGTTACAGTAGGAAGCTGTTAACAGTAAAGGATTAAAATAAAATTGTTCTTGGTATTTAAAAAGTGATGAAACGAGGAGAAAAATAAATCCACCCCCAAACGCTGCAAATCACTCCTTACAAGGTTGGCATCTGCCAAGATCCTACTTGGGAAAAAAACCTGGGCTCCTTCCCTGAGGGTCCTCCCACACCCTCCAAGGCCCAAAGCCCAAGGGTGGGTCCACTGTCCACAGACACGCGTGGACAGACCGTCCCCAAGCAGGCCCAGCATCCCCACTGATAAATGCCACTTAACACCCGGGGTTTTTTGGATTGCTTTCTAAAAAAGATTACTGCTAAATCTTCGTATTCTGTGCATTTTCTGTGACAAGACTTAAATACAGGGGAGCAGATCAGACACATTTCAGCAGGTTTCCATGTTCTTTAAAGGCAAACATTTAAAGGTGGGCCATTAGTGTGTCACATTTAATGTTTATACATTAGTCTGTATTCACCAAGTGATTGGCTCACTGAAATATTTCAGTAGTGATCAGGCAAAGTATGATTACAAGTTGAATCAAGGTATTAATAATGAGGGACTACACTCAGCTGGAAAGGAACATATGAATAGAAATAACACCCGAGTTTTAGATTATTCATTTGCATTACTTCTAAAAGATCATCCCAGCGTATTGTCTGTTGCCTTGATTTCCCTTGCATTTCTCTGACGTGACTGCTACCATAAATAAAAGAACTTGCATAACTTTCAGGTCATTAACTGGATGTGGCATTGAGTAAATCACAAAAAGGAAAAGCATATTCTGCAAAATGTGTTCCTCTGATGAGACGGAGTTAGTTCTGCACATTTATTCCCAACATTTTGGCTAGGCATGTACCTGTCTCACATACTTAATAAACACAAGAATATTTTCCAGAATTCCACTGAGTAATTTTTGCAATTAAACACTAAAAAAGAAAAAAAAATAAAATCAACCATTCACTATTAGAAGACTTTAATTATTTGGAACACTAACATCAAGAATGTTTACTTGAAAACGTTTCTTTCCACTTTAGTCCATCTTCAAGCCTGTTACACTGTATTTCACTGACTAGTATTAAAAATTACACTGACATGTTTCCTCACACTTGTAAAAAGAGAGAACTACAGTAAATTGTTTCACAAGGTGTTTGGAAAAAACGTATGTAAGAAATTACTCTTTCCTTCTTCTTCTATGATGAAGCAGAAGCTTAAAGAAACAAGAACAGTCATTATAGAGGTAAATATATTTGACATATTTAACCTCACAAATAAATAAATATATACAAGGGAGGTTACAGCATGTCACCTACAAAGTAGAAGCTTTACATTGTAGAATTGAGAGCATTCAAGAGCATCTAACTGACACAGACAGTTTAAGATTACTACATGGTAGTAAAAAAGGAGAAAAAAAATCTTAATTCGGCAAAAATATAGATAGTTGTACATTACACTGATAGGTTACAGCTCAGCTGGAGTCAGGATACTGTGTTTTTTATTTATATTTTACTAATCTACTATATCGGTTCCTCATTTTTTCAGGAATGTGTAGTTTTCCTTCTCTTCACCTCCAAACACCTTAATCAGGTAGAAATCTCACAGTAAGCTGCTATGTGAACGCTATTATCTACAGTAGTTAAGCATGTGGGATGATAAAATAGAAGTTCAAAATGCTTGTACATAATCTCTCCCTAAATTATTTCCCTTATTAAAGATACCTGACAACGCTCATCCCTGTTAATTTTAAGTGACTAGGGCTGACTTTCATTCATACCACCACGTAAGTATTTGCAGTAATGAGACTGAGGTTTCGTTAAGGTCCGTGTAGCGACCGCAGTGTTTCTGGACGGAATCCCGTCAGGCCAGCCTCCTCCCACCAGGTGTTTGCAGCCAGGGAAAATAGGTCGTTTGTGCGGTCACAGCGTTAAATGATCTCTGCACGTAAAAGCGCGCGCAAAGAGCAAAGAAAGGCACAAATCCACATCCCTAATCACTGAACATCCACCTGCTTGGCAACTGAAAAACCGCAGCACAACTTTCTGAATACAATTAATTAAATATTTGGCTAAAAATATTTTTGTTAAAAAAAAAAAGCCTTTTTTAAAATGAAAATTTCCATTAGGAGACATTCTCCTCTGAGAACAGTATCTGAAAATACCTTTGATGTTTCGGCCCTTACCTTCAGTGACACGTGCAGTTACAATTTTTATAAAACCTGCCATGGGGCGAGACACGCTTCGTGAGGAGAGGGACACTTTTGGCAGCCATGGCCACATGCTAATGTGTCACACATTTAGGGACATTAAAACAAGTAAGCATTTTATGCTCTTGTCTGTTCTCTGCACACCCCCACCCCCACCGCCCCCAATGTAATTATACACAATGTGGAGCAATGCAAAATTCCCTAATGCTGCCTGAACACTGTTTAAACTCTGTGCCTCCAACAACCTCAATCAAGTCAATGAACAGAGGGGCAGGAGAGGGATACTGATACTGGTAACGTTATGTGCCCGGAAAGATGTTATTTATTTATTACCTGTAAATTCCAGGTTATTCTGATGTTGCAATGCAATTTGATGGAGGTGTCTATACATACAGTATATCTGAAGTACAGAGACTGACAAATGAACCCATGGGTTTACAAAGTATTCCTCTTGTATTTAAATACTGAAGTTTTAGCACCGTTCATTGTTCTTAGATTGTCTGTGGTACACATTGTGGTTTCCACTGTCATATTTACTGTGTGCATTATAAAAATATGTGTGGACAGAGATCTAGGTATATAGTTATGTATCTATATATAGTTGAATGTCTTCTATTTTGTTTAATGAAAAGGAACATTAAACATTGAACTGCAGTGGGAAATGCCGCATTTCATACACACCAATCAATAAATGTTGAACCCTGACTTTGTGTAAACGTTGGATTTACCTGCGTACTTGTTCTGCACAGATGCAAACGATACGTACGACTGTCTGGTTCCACACATATCGATGGGCTTAAAATTTGAAAGAATTACTAGCAACCTGCACGCCCTTCTCAGCCAGCACATCTATGTAGTATGTGTTTCTATGTACATGGATACAAAATAGCCTGAATTTACAGCACATACTGTTTTGGTAAGCAAGGTTTGCATGATTAGGTCTATTTAGTCAAAAAATGGTTTAAAATAACCCTTTGACACTGGTGTTAGGGTTTTATTCTCTTCCGAATAAAGAACAGACAGCACTAGACAGTCAAGAAGCCAGAATCTAACAAGTGTCGTAGGGAAAATCCGTATTTTTCAAAAGCAAAATACCATCAGTAAGCTGTTCAATAAGAGCTTGCCTGTTCTGCGTGACATGTCTGCTATTTTCTCCAGGAGTCAAGACTTGCTTCTGTTTGGACTATATAATTTAGAGTTAGGCTTGTGGCTCTTCAATCTTAAAAAATATTTACACAGGATTACAATTAGCTGTCCAGGTATCATGTTGGCTGGCACACATTTAACAACAATGCCATGGTGGAAAACTGTCTTTTTCCACAACAGTAAAAACGTAGAGAAATTGGTCCTCAAGTGGAAGCTGTTAACAGGAGAACATTATAAACTGGGAAAAAATAACGAAACAGGTCACATTTTATGACATCCAGTATTCTCAATTCCAGGCAGACTTTTTGTCTTCCTTTGGGTTTAAAAAATTCAGAAGCCCAGTCAGAACTTTGTGCTGTGACTAAATGAGTCGGACATGATGATATTTTTATAGAAGTTGTCAGAGTGAGGATTGCAGTACCCCTTGACCTTGTCGATAACCTGGTGGACAGGGATGATTGATGTCTGTTCTCCATCCTCTTGGGCAAATTTGGAAGATGGTTTGTCAAGAAAAACATTATCTAGGAAGAGGAAAAAGCAACAACAAGAAGTTAGGGCTTCTTAAGCAAACTCATCGTTTAAGAGGTGTGTCACTCCCACATAGATATGCCTTCAATTACCACTACTGCTGAATGAAATTACTGCCCTAAAAGCCACCAAACAACTTTTTGGCTTGGCATTGCTTCTTCTAAATTCTTTTGAGACATCTGGTTTTGTGGGCAGACCTCTCAGGTCTCTCTTGAAATTATCCCCTTATTCTTTTGCCTAAAGAGTAACTGACTCCTACGACCTTTTAATATATTAATTTACTGTTGATGCTTTGAATCTTACAAACTAAAAACATTTTGATAGCACTGAAATAGGGGTGACCTCCATAACATCTGGAAAATAACATCTCCATGTCATAAAGTAGTGGAAAATGACAGCAAATGGATTTAATTATTACAACAGGGGAGGTTTTAAGCTATGCACAGAAATAACGTACTCCGCGCAGAATGCAGTAGAAGATGATTTGTGTCTTAAAGCAGATAACCAGAGCCAAAACTGGCTTCAACTTTGTGCTTGCCTTGCATCACTGTTTTTTCCATAATGTGGAGGGTACAGACTGAACAACTGTAGGGAGGAAAAGATGCATAAAACTGGCATCCCTTCAGAGTTCATGTGCTATAAGCCAAAGAGAAAAGAGCAAGGCAATTCCCAGTCAGGCCAGGAAAATCTGCTTCAGCAGCTAACACAATTGCTGTTCAGAGAACTGTCAGTAGGTAGAGCTCACGTAGTGAGCAATGAGAAGGAGAGAGCCTGTATCTCATTTTCTCAAGTACGTTGTCCTAACGAGCTTTCTTATCTCTGCCACTGCAGTGAATCAAGCTGGAATGAATTCTCTTAACCCAGGCAACGTTTGGACCACTGCAAGTCGACAGTAAGATGGAGTATTCTGTGAAGCAATGTTTTCTACAAGTGATATTTTTGATGGCTGTTTACATGACCTTGGTGAAATTACCTTCAAAAATTCCTTAGTAAAGGATCATTTAAAGAATTTAGCATATTACTTAAACTATGATTTCACACAAAACTTTTTTCTTATAGAAATAAATTAACTAAAAATAAACAGACAAGTAACCCACCCCTGCAGAAATCATGGTATCAAGCCATAAAAGAGTATGAAGGGTTGCAAAGGAGAAATGGATTGCAGAGTGAGAAATCAAAACAGTTTCACTCATGAAAAAAGAAACAGGCATGTTCAGGCATATCAGGATGATTTTTTCAAAGCACGCAAGAATATCCATGAATTGCAGCAAATAACTCCATGTCCAATAGCAAACTGCTGAGTACTGTATGCCTTTCAAATGTATGCATTTACTAGCCAACAGTTCTACATGTTGAAGCTTTTCTACATATTGAGTATCTTATTAATAGGATGAAAGGTTAATTCTCAGTCTTTAGGGGAAGTTTTTGAAGCTCTTGCAAATAGGTACACTTTTTTTCACAAGGCATCATTACACTGTTAAATACCAGCTATTTCCTTGTGAAATTTGCATGCACAGGAATGACATAAGGCCTCTGAAACCAGTGGGGCCTTCTTTTTTGTTTAGCTCAGGGTTAAAAGCCTGTATCACTGAAGTAAAAGGGAGTTGTACCACCAAATTCTCTGCAGAAATAATCTTAACTTCTAATTCACAGAAGTGTGATATATGGTATTTAAGTACTATCTACAAGTTTGTTTCAGACTCGTAGACAGCAGGACCACAAGATGCCGAAGTGATTTCTTTTGTCCATCCAGTAGGGTCCACCCAATATTCCTGTCCCAATCCATGCATGCTGCAGTCAACCAGCAGATCACAGCATGGGTTCCAGGCATATACAGTTTGTCATTCACAGTTATTTTGGGTGTGACTGGAGATGAAAAACAATGGCTAGAAGCCTAACTCCATAATGGCCATAGACAAAATAGAAATAAAGTATCTTAAAATTCCTGTAATAACTTTTATAAATACTAAAAAATTTTCCAGGACTCAATCAGATTTTTGCTTTTTAATATATGCTTTGTGTATGAGTATTTCAACTTAAGCTCCTTTCCACAGAGTACTGTACACAGGCATTAATGTCAGGACATGGTCTGTTTTCTAAAACGGTATCTTCCAAATGCTTCATGCCCATGCAGAGTGCAGAAACCCAAAATGTGAAGCACACTTATCCTTTGATTCAGCATCAATGGCGCAAGATGTAATAGTGAGAAACAAGCAGCATTTCTGATTAGCAAAGTCCTTTGTGTCAACGAGGACATCATGCAAGTGGCATCCCTCCACCCTGTTCAAACCATGCATTCAGCGAAAGCAATTCTCACTTTACCTGTAATGCTCCACCACTGAAGAGGAAAGGGCCTTAGAAGACATTATCTATACCACAAACACACGAACGCTTGTGTCAATTCCAGAGAGCACATTGTAACCATATTAACAAGAGCTGCCAACACATGTAGCTATTACATGATTTGCCTGCAATTCAGCTAAGACATCAAACTAAGAAGTTCAGCTGTATTAAAAATCAGAATCTCAATGTTATTTTCTATTACTTTAACACGTGAGAAGATATGTTAGTATTTAAAAACCTAATGTTAGTAAAAATTCCTTTGGAGCATTGCAATAAAATGTGTATTTTCAGAAGTCAAAGCAAAATGTGTTAAAATTTTTAAAATCTGGAGAAAACTGTGCTATTTCCTTAATGTCCAACAAACCACACATTACAAATTATAATTACATTACCAACTGCAGTCCCTTTTAGGAAACAATTTATGCATGGGATTAAGCTCACCACTTTTGAAAAAAGTATATGAGCATGTTCCTAACTGCAAGTTTCTTTTAACTTACTTCTTATCTGGAACTGTTTTATTGTTTTGCTACAAGAACACATTGCAAAAACTGCAGCACTAAAGTCTCTTTAATTGTCAGACTGATAAAAAGCCCTGACTCCAACAAAACATTTAATAAAGCGTATTTTTATCATTAAGCCCAATACCAAGGGCCTAAAGGGTGATCTGCCATGAGTACAAAAGGGAATTCTCTGTCTGCAGAATGGAGAATGCTCTGCAGCAGAACAGGCACAATGGTCTCTTCCTCTACTATCAAATTAATAGTAGCACTGTGGTCAGTGGGTATTACAGATGCTGTTGGTGAAAGACTGCTGACAGAAGTGTCTCTTCACAGGAGAGAGAGCTGAAGAGAGCTTGCTCAGGGCAGCTGGGTGCATGGCCCATCAAACCTAAGCTGGCCGCAGGGCCAGGCCCCAGCTGTGTGCTCCCAATGTGGCTGTGAACGGCAGTCCTGGGTGGAAGCTCAGGTACAGCCAGGAATTTCTAAGATACTGCTCGTTTTTGCTGTATACCAAGCAAATGTATTTCATGTACCTGTTCAATAACCAAATACGGTTTACACTCTGAAAATGTCTCACGCGCAATCCCTCATGCTAATGGATGACTGAATATTGGTTAGTGAGAAAATAACAATGTAACTCTTAAAACTGACAAAAAAACGTGTGCTTAGCTGAACCAGGTATTGATTATCAATAAAAATAGGAAGGTGTTTCCTGGAAACTATGCCACGTATCAAGAAAGGAGACTGTACCATCACAAATGAGACCTTGGGGCTTCTGAAAACAATTTATTCTTAAGAAACAACGGAACTTTCCTTCTGGTAAAATAATCTACTTAATTTCTAAAACATTGTTTCTAACAAGTATTTTAAAGCAAGAAAATACATCTTTGGGTCAAATATGTTTGCAGACTTTATGTTCACCATGGTTTAGAAGAGGAATTTGCAATCATGTTATGTGACTTTATACAGTACAAGAAATATGACTTCACAAAAAGCCAGTAACAAAAAAATCTAAACTATTTAAGTGATTTTCTGAAATGTTATATCAGACATAACCAAGCAGACTTGCAAATCATTCCATCGCCTCTCTTTTTGTGTTTATTTAAAATGTTCTTAAAATGAGCACATTTTTACAGCATGAGTGGAATACAGATGATGCATTTTATGACATACACTACTGACATCTAAGTAAGTAAGTGGTAGATATGGCATGCTATTTGTAGAAGGGAAAGACAATGCATATTCTGGGAACACAGTATCCATTTCCAAGTAGCCTCCATTTGTCACTTTACCCATAAATGTGTTACAGTTAAATGGAAACAGTCTGACCAAGTGAATCAGCTGTGGACTTGGATTCAGAACACTCGATTCCTATTTCCAGCTCTGTTGCTAGCTTTCATGTTACCTTGGGTGACGAACGTCATCTCTCTGTGCTTTGGCTACCCTATGTTTACAATGGGATAATAAGACTTGCCTTCTTTTTGCCAAAAAGGTCAAAGTGCTACAGAAAAAGAGAGATTTGCTTTTGTCACACCTACTTTGTTTAGTATGGGAACATACTGAGATCAGAACTATATGTTGGATGTATTGCATATTAGGTTAAGAGTCCTATTAAACAGTAATGTGTGCTTTAAAAATACTGAAACTGTATAAATTGGTGAAATTTTCTCACATTACCCTTTGAGTAGAAATCCCTACTGTACCTTTAACATGAAACTACGTATTTACAGATGCACTGTGTTACAGTTCAAGAACTCACCTGTATGGCTGTTTCGTTTGCAATATGTATTTGTTGTAGATTTTGATTTGGATGTTAAGTAGGTTGAATTGGAGCCAATGGAACTAGAGGATAAGGATTTCCCAAGATTATCAGAACTCTTCTTTATAATATTGGTTGCTGTTTTGCTCCAATCTAAAAATGATTGAAAAGTTTTACATAAATAATTACCATAGGTACTAAAGGCATGATTTATTCAATTATGAACATTTCAAGTATCAGATGCATTTCTTAATCTTGCTTGTAACAAACAGCTTATGCTTTTGCTGTCAGGTAGCCTCTTTGGTTCTTAAGAAACACAAGAATTACTCCAACTTCATTTACTTTGCTGTTTTCCACAGTAGTTAAAACTGCTGGCTCTAACTCTCTAACAATCATTTGGCTGGATGGCAGAACTGTAAGATTTGGCTTTCCAGGATGCAGGAGAGCCGTGAAGATCTGCAGCAGTATAAGGATGCCAAAGTTTCATCAACTGAAGAGACAAATCCAAAGGGATGGATAGGAAAGGGATGGATAGGAGCATTTACAAGAGGTGTTATCATTTGAGGGATAGATCTGCTGAGGTAGATACTACATACTCATGGATTTGCAGTTGCTGTTACAGGATTTAGCATATTGGTGCACTATTAATAACAATGAATAATAATGGTTATTCAGTAGTTCACATTTTTGAAGAGTTTTGTCTGAATCATTAACACAATAGGCTCTTATACTGGGACAACTTCCAAAATTAAATTAAATAACTAATACCAATAAACTTATTGAGGAAAACTGACACTGAAAAACTCATCACAAGTGTCCCAATACCAGTACATTAAAGCATCTGAGTACTTTTGTATCATATACTTGCAGGTAGGTACAAGTAGTTGCACACCTTAGTCTTGTTGCCATTATTCACTGGACTGCAATGATATTCACAAAATGGAAGAGAAGTCCGAACCAAAGACAGATGGGCCACTTTAGCCTTGATTTAAATCAAGACAAATATTTTATCCTAAATCATTGCTATAGGGTACAGTTTACTATTTCTCTGATCTAGCTATGGCAGTGTTGCAAGTCTTTGGCTTGTTTGTCTCTTTGCTTTATCATAGCATGCCCTAAAGTACACTTCAATTGCATAGGTATGTCAGTTCACATTTGGCTTATATTTCACTGTTCCACCCAAAAACTGTGTCAGGTTCATGGAGAATAAAACCAGGTGGTGGGGATGGACTGGCTAATGCTAGGCATAATGACAACACATTAACTATACCGCTGAAGTACTAAAATCCTTCAGGTTTTTATTTCTATCATATCCGCAAACTGCCCAACCACAGCATAAAAATCTGGAAATAATTTGATTATCTGTGTTTTCCAGTTCAGGAGTTACAGTGTGAACCACATGGAAACTCAACACGCGAAACAATCTGGATGCCCGATCAGAATGAATATGCATTTCCTAATTTGTATTAACTCTTTGAAATCACGAATCAGGTTTACTTACTACATAGTGAAAGCAGAAATGTTTTATAGTATATAATGAGAATGCATTCTCTAAACAAAACAGAGCAAGACAAAGAAAAAGTCTTGATGGCAAAGCAGTTACTTAAAACCTTGAAAAAAAACCTTGGATGCAAAGAGAGAAAGGACACAAGGGTATTCGGAGTACTGTTATTATCCAGGATCGACTGGCTTACCTTACTAGGCAATGAGCTCTAGGCTCGTGCCACCTTACATCAAGTGTAGATTTCAACCTTGGTCACTGAGCAAGAACCATATGAGTAAGAATTATATGGTCCAAAATCACTACATCAGGCAGCAAAAGCAAGATCCAGCTGCCTGAACACAGGAGTCTAATGCCATCCGACATGGCCAAAGGTGCAGGAGACTATAAATGCAGTGGTCCAAGTGTTGCACTTTGAAATGTCCAAACCAACTGCTCTCCTTTGCCTCCGAGAGTTGCAGATAAAGATGAACTTCAATTCTTGAACCTAATCAGGCTTCTGCTAAAGGAATTTTCTGGTTTTGAGTCTCTAATGGTCTCTCTGAATTATATGGTGACAGATAGAACAGTTTGCAAAGGCAAAGATAAAAGCAAAAGAAGTCAGAGTATTTCTATCTGTCTTTTAAGAATTGCTGCTACATCAACCTAACAGTCCACACAATTCAGTCAACATACTGTAACGTAGGAGAAAAGGAATAAGATTGGCTTTTGAATGACAAAGTTTGAATCTCTGGATCTTTATTTAATTTTTTTTTTTTCAGGGTCCAAAGGGCCTTCCAAAACCATGCTTATAGCACTACAAAATTTACCAGCTGCCTTCAGTGGAAAACTGAAAGAGAAGACTTGAGAATTTTTATGAAGTGATATCTGAAAAGTCCCTTGGCAATTGTTACGACTGAAGTGAAGTGACAGCCTATGATTAATTTGTTTTTCCACATCTCTGGCTTACATTGTATTATATTAAAAATAACATAGCACACTGTTCACCTGGACTTTTATGGACTACTGCAGCACCTAAGGAGGGGAGCTGTGAATTGCTTTTACCTGAATTGTCTGCCAGTCGGAATCTGCCACAACAGAGATGTCTCCTCCACTGTTTCTGCACATTTTCTTTCATAGCGCAATGGAATACAAATATAAACAAACCTGTGACAGAAGCAAATAAACAGCAAATTAAGCACGTATTTATAAATAGATAAACAGATTAACTAAAGTCTGCTAACAAAAGACTCTGAAGTATAAGCAAAGGAAAATAATCTTAAAGTTTTTTTATTGTCATCTATCCCTCATTTAAGAGGTATGGAAATTAATTAAAGCTTTCCTATCCTCTAGTTGCTATGTAAGTGTCTGGGATATCAGAAGAGAGAGAATAGGACCCCTTTTATTGACACTGTTGATTTAGATCCATCTCAGTTTGGATCTTTTAATTATTTTTTTAGCTTAGAGGAAAATAATTAAAAGGTTTTGTCTTTAAACCAAATTAATATTTTGCACTCAACAGGACTGCAAGAGCCAGACTGCAAAGTAAATACAGACCCTATTATATTAGCAAGGAGATATTTTATCTCCTCCTGTTCCATATCTACAGAATTGTGGGCTGTATTCTTTTAAAACCAGAAGTATTGTAATTGGCACTAAAAAGTGCCCTGAAAAAGCACACTTGAATTTATGTGCATCACATGCATACACTTGAAACGATTATGAAAACGGTAAGAATATGTTCACAAGTACTAATTAGGTGTCCAGCTACTTACTTCTAAAGAAAATTACCTGGTTTGTGCATGCAATTGCAATAAATGCGTTTAAGAATGTTTTTGTAGAGTTCATTTTTCTCATGTGACTGTATAATCTTTATTTTCAAGACAGAAGATAAGCATCTACCATGAAGTAAAGAAGGTCTTAACCGGGTGTATGGTATGATTTCATCATTCTACAGAGATATTTTGGAGCTAAATATAGAAGTTGGAAATCTCATATGCTCCTTGCTCTTCCCAGGCAGGCACTGGCTGTGGAATCTTCCGTCGCTCTCTGGCTTGGCCTGTTCTTGTTTTACTCTCATTCTCGGGGAGAGAGCCAACCTGAGGATGAACACCTGATGGCAAAATGTTACTGCCAAATCCCTCATGATTATATCTTAAACATGACTAAATGCTACATAATGTGGGCGAACGTGGTTAAGTGCCATTCTCTAAAACCGTTCCTGTATGATCATCATGAATAGTTCTGTATACTAATGCCTACTATGTTTGAGCTGGTAGAACACAATGGCAGGGTACAGCTTGGAAAAAAATGCTCTGGAGCACAGAATGATCCTCTCTCCAAAGTGCTGAGATCTAATTTTGCATGACTGCGTGTCATTGAACTGGACTTGTATTTGCTTACAGCCATCAGGCCAGGCTGAGACCACTGAGATCAGTTACCTTCAGGTAAAGGTTGTGTCATGAAACACATTTTTTGGAACATTTTTCAAGAGCTGATGAGGAAAAAAAAGGAAAAGCACAATTTAAGAAAGGAGAACATACCTTAATGAATCCCACTCGCAAGCTCTGTTGCATTATGGTTACTGTGTTTGCATTTAGTAAAATATTTGTGTGTGTGGTTTGTTTTAAGCACAGAGTAATTCCAATGCAATCACTAGCAGCTCTTATAGGCTTAGAGATACGCAGTTGTTTGTGGCCCAAAGTACCTCTTAGGACTTCTGCACAGCTACAAACTTACTAAATTGATGCTTAATTAAATTGTGGTGAATGTCTGGAACATTCTGAATGGTTAAAAAAGAAAATGCATATGTCTATAGTAATACCAAATGAATGTACTGCATTAAGTACTTTGCCTTGGCCCTGTCTGGGCTTGGTCTCTGAATTTTTTTTCTCTGTATTTCATTATTCATTAAGTTTACAATGTGCTTTAGTAATACAGCTTTGGTTTTGTTTCCCAGAGTCAAATCAGACCCTAGGTTTGGCTCTAGGTTGGCTCTGACTTGAAAGCATTTGGCTTGCCCAGGCATATATATAAAATGAGCAGCCAAAAAAGAGATGTTCCCAGATTTTTTGCTCTGAGCGTCAAAGACAGAAAAATCATTTCCTATGTAGGTGAAATAGCAAAGTACAGTAACACCAGTAGTTGCTGCAATTTACTTTTCCACTGCCAGTGAACAGAATACTGTTGATGGGGGCTGCTGGTATAGCTTAAACTACTCGTGCAGTTTTCAAAAACTTGAGAGAGAGAATAAACATATTTACTCAATAATTAAGCTCGCGCTAATACTGATGAAAAACTTGCCATACTGAACTGCTTTTTGCTGCGAGGAAATGCTTCTTGATACAAATCCTAGCTTTTTCTTTGCTCCATTTCATCCCCTTCCTGCTACAGTTACTGCATATAACTGCAGTAGTTACACATGATTTTAAACACCCTCTTCCTTGTTTCTTTAGCTTTGCCTAGCTCTTTCTGACACAGCGATAAGCATTTTCACATACAAGATCGTTATCTTCCTGTGCTTGATACGACATGCCTGAGCACATCCTGTGTCATCATTGCTACCACGATCGGTGAAAAGCTCATCACTTCTTCTGTTTGCATTTACTCCTCAGGTTTTTCAGTTTCATCTTCTGACTTAACTGCCTTCCAAATACTCATTTTCCATTGAACAGTGCTATTATCCCACAGAGACTTAAGCAGTGGTGGTCAACCTTGTGTGCACTCTGCACATACAAGCTTAACTGATTGCACTGGAAATTCCAGTTACAGAGAACTTGTTCAATTTGACTCCTGGCATGCTTTTCTGAGTTTTAATCTTTTTTCATGTTCTTCCCATACTTCTCATCTCTCCAGGCCCTTCTGAATTTCTCACACGGACACACTGCAGCAAATACCTCATTACGCTGCTAGGGGAGTATCAGAATGTGTCCTCTGAAAAATAGTCTTTAGTAAGAACATCACATCCAAAGAATTTTTGCCATTTTGCCTAGCATTTTAGGTTGAAACTGAACCAAACCAAAACCCACAACATTATTCTCTTTCCACGAAAGCTCAATAAATCTTTTAGCGCAGTAAATACATCTCAACTGTAACAGATAATATCCACACAGTGTAACATTAAGTACTTTTTCCAAAAAGGGAAGATATTTTGCTGACCCTGGGAAAATTTATTTTTTATCTCTGTATTTGAGTGGCATAACACATGCTCCTCCAATGACATTCTTGGGTTTGTTTTTTTGTTATGGTTATTTTCAGGTAAATTTATTTTTTATAGCAATATGTGTGTGGTATAACACATGCCTTTCCAATGACCTTCTTGGGTTTTTCTTTCTGTTATGTTTTTACTTGTTCTTTATTAGTGGGTAGGGCAAGCAGAGGTGGAGATTCTTATGTCATTTGGTACATACGCAAATTTCAGCTCTGAGCTGAAATTCTTTTAAATGTCAGCTATATAATTATGTAATTTATAACTGTTTGATTACAATTCACAGCATTTTTCAGAAGGATGAGCTACATTGGAAAGCAAAATACTCAAAACTTCAGTAAAAGAAACAAAAATAAGCTGACTATAACAGTCGCTGGGTTTTCCTTAAAGAACCAAAGAATATCCCGTCTTTCTGTGCTATCTCTCCACACTAGAACAGGACTGAATTTTGCATCATGAGCTTCTCATGCCTTAATAAAATAGTTATGAGCTTTACAGATTCCCTACAGGACCAAATTAAGGAAAGAGGCTTCCTATATTTGTTATAATCAGTGAAAGGAAATGCTGAAGGTCATACAGCATCTATCTCAACAGAGATCACTGCAGACTGTTAGCTAGGAATAGTAGTATTCATAATACAGTGCATTTTACAGGAAAGACCTTGAAACATTAACTAATTTAACTAAGATATTCAATCCATATGTAGCTGTTATCATTATTCCACATAAGGGGAAACTAATGATGGCTCAGGATCGAGGAAAAACCTAGAGAGTTTGGATCTGAGTTCCTGAGTCAAATCACCGGATATAGTATGTCCTAGAACAGCAACAGCTCAAATATTATTTGTTCACAGAACAGAAATTCAGCTTACCTTGCAAGGAATTGAAAATTGAGAAGAGGTACAGGAAAGGAAGAGTTAAGGGACCCCAGGCAAAAAAGGCAAAGCCCCACGTCATGCCCAGGAGGAAGGTCAGGCTGACCACGCTACGGAGATTCCTCAGGATCTCTTCTTTCAGGCTCCGATTAGTTCTTTTCCCATTCCTCCCACAGATCTGCACCATCACCACAATAAACATGGCAACATTCATCAGAAACATGATTCCAAAGTAGCCAGCACAAGTCACATAGAAGACAACTTCATTCTTGATCCAGCAGCTGTAAAAAAATAGGAAAATATGATCATTTTTAGATAATGCAAACTATCCTCCAATTATTTATATGACTACAAGAAAAATCAGTCTATGTCTGATGCCACTGATATAGGACTATACTTTAAAATGAAACCTTGTCCATTTTCTGTTTGTAAACAGGATGAAGCCCAGTGGCATCTTAAATGACCACAGTCCACAGTATTATCATGTCAGAAATCTGAGGGTCATACCACATTTTAGTTAAAACTAATGAAAAAGGAAATCCAAGCCCAGATACAAACTGTGGGAACTGCAATCCCATCATGGAAAGTTTAGACAGTATAAGTAGCTTCACCACTTTCATCCGTGTGAAGCATAGGACGCTTTAGTAACAGAATGGCGAAACTGGATCTTGAGTTTCTGCCACTTGAGCTAAAGGAGAACTCGTACATCTCTGGAGAAGCAGCAGGACGGGTAGTTCTTTGAGGTAGTCATTTCAGTCAGCCATGTGAGAGATCTAGCTTATTCCTCTAAGCAGCAAATGGACAGAATGCTTAGCCTGATACTATAGTAAAAATACAGAATGTCATTTTTATTTATCATGATGAAGCTTTGCCAGGCAAGGAACAGAAAATGAGTCATATAAAAGTTCTGGCATTTGGCGATTGTTACGTGAACATCAAGAGAAGACCATAGAAAGCTATTGAACTACATTGACAAAAGGTTGGTTTATTTACAAAGGAGACTATTTTTATACTATCTCTTTTTTTACTCTTACCTAGAAGATATAGCTTTCATTTCAGATAAACCAAAACAGGTATTTTTATTTTATTTTCATGACAAAACTTACGAATTATTCTTCTGGCAGAGGAGTGTTTGTACCTGGCACTGGGTAATGAAGATTTCCCTCCAATTTTTCTTTAAGCCTTCTTCACGCTTCAGGTTCAAATAATGTAGAAGACGATTTTGCGCACTTTGCTCCTTTAATACATCTCTGACTTTTCCAAAGCCATCTGATCGATGCTAATTTTTTTTTTTTTGCAGACTGTAAATACTAAATTGTAAGAGATTAAAATAAATACTTACAAATCGTCTCCTCCTTGCCCGTTAGCATCTTTGCCATATAACTCTTTGCCGTAAACATGACTTGCATTTGTATAAGCACTTGCTAAAATAATTGCTATCACCAGAGCTGGCAAACCTGTAAGACAAGAAAATCTGCAGTTTGCTTTCAAATCTCCTAAACCTTCAAAGTCACCATGCAAAGCTGAATTATTGATGTCTCCATCCCTATTGCTCTAGTACAGAGTATCCTGAGGTAGTTGTATGCCAGAAAATTGCACAGAGAAGTAGAAGAAAACAATTTTTCAAAGAGTACAAATGTATAAAACTTGCAAAGCACTTTATGAGCATTAAGGAATAAACCTCATAATGTTCTGTAAGGTAGAGAACGTTATTTTATGGATATGGAAACTAAAGTAAAATAATCGCCCTTAATTACCCAAAGTTAAATTTGCAATTGCACACAGACTCTCATAATACATTGAGAAGATTAACCAACTATTACAAAAATGAGATCTAATGGAACAATGGTATTGGGATTTTTTTGAGGGAAATTTTTCAGAGATGCTGGTATCACTTGATTAGGCTGGGGAACTGGGGAACATGAACTTGAACCTGTAATTTCTCCACTGTTTCTCTCAACTGTAAATGTCTTCCCTTTTCTTACAGCATTAAATATCCTTTATTTAAATGTGTCCCCAAAAAATGAAGCAAACCATGTATTTTTTAATAATAAGGTAAAGGGAATATTTTGGGAAAACAGATAACTACGCGGGAAAGAACTCTGTGCAGAGAGGTACAGCTCACACAAAAGAAACGTATGTTTCCTGACATGCCTTATTTACATGTCTTACCCTTGCTACGACAAAACAGATTCAAAGGGGAAGAGGTTAATTTGCTTTTCCGACCACGCAGTCCTTGTCCTCTGCTGAGGTTGCCAAAGAGGATGCTAGTTGCCAATGGAAAGACATCAATTATCAGTTGGACTGAGGTCAGTGCTCTAGCCATGAGGTTAATGGTTCTGTATTGTGTTGCATTATTTCAAACACAATATGTGCATTCAGACAGAAGGCACAGACTCCTGATATAGAAAAAAAATGAAGAATAAAAGTCTTGCTGCTTGAGCCTCGCAGTTATTTTTCAGTATTACATTTTCCATTTCAGTCCTGCTGTGTACACTGCTTAGGGCAGGCAGGATCTCTCTGTGGTTTAAACACTGTGCCGAAGCTCAGGAAATTTTGGTTGTTTCTGATTCTGCCATAACCTTTGTACTTGTTGGCAAGAAACTTTAACCTGGATTGAAAGGTTTTTTGAAAGTCAACACAAAGATCCCCATAGGCTTTGTAGCAACTGCAAGACTTTCTGAATGCATTGTGTGCCATGGTTCTCCACCTCTGATACGACACTAACATTTCCCCTCTCCCATTCTGGCCTCTCTGGAAAGTTAAGACCAGTTTATCTGGTCTCTCCGCTTCTCCTTGGGCTGTGAGATGCTCTGGGCAGAGCACGCCAGTTATGGTGTATTTGCACAGAATTATATAAGGGAACCTGGTGACAGAGAGGGCTGGCCACACGCCGGCACTGCCACGGGGCAGAGGGAAGGAAACGCCACGCTGATTTTGATTCTGCTCTGCATTTGCGATAGACAGTTTTTATATAGCATAATTTCAAAATACATGCTATGTAAATACTGCATCTACTGAACTCACCCCAGCCAATGATGCAAAACTTCAGTATGTATCGTCGTATATAAGTGTTGAACACTTTCACTAGAGCAATGTACATATGAACAGCTTCTAGTCCCATCCACGTAAAGGTGGCCAGAAGGAAAAAGTGCAAAAGTGCAGCTACAGCTATGCAGAGGCCATCTATGTCAAACGATGCGATCCAACCATCAAGCAAGAAGATCAGGTTAAGAAAGAGCAGGGCTGTGCTCAAATTCATCAGGATTTTTGATGGATAATCTCTTCGCAACTTCCTAATGAGAGAAATACAGGTGCATATGATTAATTGCCTTCAATCACGCAAGGCACTTACAGCAGCTGGCTTTACCAGTTTACAAAATAAATAAAAGCACAGGGATCTTGTTCTAGCTGCAAGCTTTTGTGGCAATAGGGTGTATTTCTGTGTAATCATTGAAGGTTTCTGCTGCATGTGGTGGGGGAAAGCTACCACTTCTTTGGGTTCTTAATGAGCTAATTAACTGCCACAATATTTTAGCAACTGATTTATTATTAAAAACCTTTCAAATGAAATATAATACAATGTGTTTTGAACTTTAAATGAAAACTGAAGAAAGAGAAAACTTTCAAAATATAGCTGATAAGAAGCTCATCTCTGACCATTTTATATGTAAATATTGCTTAATTTTTGGAATATATTTTCTAGTGTGTGTTCTTTTCTGTTTTTTTTTTTTTTAATAGGATGTTAGGAAGAGTGAAGATCAAGTCAATTTTCTTTTTTAACTGATACACATTGAATGTATGAAGTGAGAGGCAAGCCAACAACTTCTGCCATCTTGGACCAGAACATTATACCACAGGTAATGCAGTAAGACTGCAATCACTGGAGATATTTAGAACTCGAAAACCCCCTTCAACTCACCCCTCGGCAAACTATCTTTCTTTAGCAGCTACTCTGTCCTATCCTGTTATAGGCAGAATGGTTCCTTTGTGTTGACATGACTTCATTTTCCCTTTTTGCTCTTCACAGAACTGCATCACTTCAAAACTTTTGCATTCCCTTGAGTCACTTTCACATTTCAGTAGGACTGCTGTTGAAATGGTTATAACACTTCTCAATTCATATTCATTTTATTTCTCTTCCCACTTGTTCTGAAGAGCTCTAGAATGTAATTGTTCTAGTTGGAAATTTCTCTTTTTATACTTAGGATTTGTTATGCTTACACAGGCAAGTTTTGTTTTTACAAAAAGCTTGGTTGTGGATTTTAAAATAACACCTATCTGTTCAGAATATAGAGGATACTGTATTCCCAAAAGAGAAAATTATGAGACACATTAACCCTATTCCCAGGCCTGAGCAGCACAGCACAGTGGAAACAGGAGGAAAGAGTCTAAACTTCTGTTGCCTTGAAAAAAATTTCCACTTACAACTTTGACCATGATTTTGCAGGGTTTTTTTAAACATAGATTTCCCTTCCTAGACAGATAAACCACACTAACCATATGACTAAATAATTTTATTCATCACACACAGGTACTTTCTTTGTGAAGCTCTTCACACAACTAATACTTACTCAAATGCAATATATGTTAGCAGAGTTGCAGCTGAAAATATAGCAGATATCCCACAGCCTATGTACGTGATAAAGGTGAGGACCTTGGTATTCTGTGGGTCTATTTGCGTAACAGTTCTCTGCAGGTCCTACATGAGAGAGAAGGAAGAGGCATCAGTCATAGCAAACACGTTTTCCACGAGCACAACCCTTTCTTGGTAATTAGTCAAGTAAAACTCAAAAGCACTTTGGCAATACCACTATAACCCTGATGCTAGGGTTCATGTTTACTGAGTATACTTAGTCTACAGTTGTTATACCTCTCGCTTCCTTCCCATAGTTCTTCAAAACATTGTGCTTTAAGTATTATAACTGCTGGGATCAGCGAATAGACAGAGCCTGATACCGATCCTTATAATTCAGTACCAGGAATTCAAATGTCCTCCTCCGGAAAAATCTCCCCTTTTCAAACTTTTTAGTTCCATTGCTTATAGACAAATCTCTTTAAGAAGATGTAAGATTTAGGAAAATGTAATTTAGAAGTATTCATATGGAAATGTGCAACATTCTAGAGAGTTTTTAACATTACTTCTTGTTATTATTAGAAGTCTGTAGGAGTCAATGTCGCTAATCATCCACAGGTGAAAACAAGGGCAAGATATTGCTTTTTGGTTTTATGGTCTGTTTTGAAATGCAAACTACAGTCATAAATAGAATTGGTCAGAAAAATAGTGACAAAGACAACATTTAAAAAAAAAATTGGAAATGAAGCAGGAACATTCTGAGGATTTTTTTTTCCACTTTTCTGTCCAACTGTAATTGACACATAGTACTGTCTGAGAATAAATGCCAGCGTCATTTCCTTTTTTAAGGACAAAAAAAGAGAATGTTTGGATCTATATCACTGTGGAGTAAATGCAAGCAAATACTAACACATAATGGTGTCCATTCTGCAGTGTCACTGTTGTCCCTAGCAAATCTCTCCAGCAAAAGAAATGAATAAAATGCTACAAAACTTGCCATTCTTCACAGGAAACGGAAAGAGCAGTTTTTTTACACCCTCTCCAGCCTTATATGACAGTTTATATATAAAATGTGAGTGAGTGTTACTTGAAAACAATTTAATTCTAAATTAAAGTCAGAAAAGACTATTAAAATGGAAAAACAATTAGAACGGTCAAAACTGTGTAAAAATCTATTGGAACATAGCCCAAATTCAAAGAACTTCTGCCTTATTTCCTACTGTCACAAAAGCGTTCGGGGAAGAGAAGGGACTCATTGAATACAACCTAAAGAAAGCCCTTATTTTCTCCCTTCGAGGATGAAAGTGAAACAAGACCACAATTTAGCTTGCAAAAACACAAAAAGCTTGTGGCTTTTTCATATCTACATCTGAACATGACATGAAGAGAACAGCTCTATTAAGAAGAGTCTGGAAGGCCAAAGCTGAAAAAGTCAGTCATGCAGCTCCCTTGTGCAACGGTTAAGTCCTATGTGTAACTGCAAAGAGTTACACCAAAACCCAAATACTTCCACTAAGAGCACTGCTGTGATCAGGAGTAAACATCTTTTCTACAGGTAGATTTCAGAGGCCAAAGAATGTTAATATCAGGTGGAAAGAAATGTTTCAGCCCATTACTGAGCCTAAAAAAATCACCAAATGTTAAGAAAAGATAGCAGTATTCCATCTTGTTCACGTGGCGATTTTTTTTCTCTCAAAATCACTTCACACATGCAAATTGCTGGAGGCACCTGAATGCTTGAGGAATTACGCTACTAAGGCTGAAGTTCTCTATATGGTTCACTTTTTCATCTCCCTGATAGGCTATGCTCTACCTACCTCAGCCACCCAGTCTGGAGCCTTTGCTTAAGGTTCTGATAGAGTACAAATTACATGTTTTGTACCAGTAGACTTTTTCCAAGAGAAGGCCTGTACTGCAAGGCGTCCCTGAAGCTGATTAAAGCCATTTATAAGAAAACAGCAAGTATGGGTTAACACATTGCATGAAAGATGGCACTGCATTATACTTTTTGACATTAGATAAATATAAATCTAGTCATATTTGCAACCTAAATCTGCAAAAGGCAATTTAGCCTCTTGAATGTCAGGATGAAAGGGAATTATTGTGCTCCCTGGACTTTTCATCCTCCTTAGCAGTTTTACTGACTGTAGAACATTTCTCTTTCATTTCCCTGACAATACATCTCTCTTTTTGTTCTGAGAACAGCACCTTTAATTTTTCTCCTACTTTTTTTTTTTCTGCAACTTCCCACTTCCCTGATCTTGAAATTTCAAATCTACCTAGACTTGTTTCTCATTCACTTCCCTCTTGTTACACCCTCCTGTCTCAGCTGCAGGTCATTTCTGTCAGATTATATCATTAAGGGAAATTACAGGGACCCCTTGCACCTTAGGAATCATTAAGATCAATTTTTTCTGTTTTGCTAGTGGAAGTGTTAGTACTGGGCCTCAGTTTTACAGTCGCCGACTTTCTTTTTCACTCAGACATGTCCCAGCTTTGAAGCTGGATGTTGTAATATGCTATTTGTATTTTGGTATCGCTCACAAGTCTTTTGTACCCAGGTCTTTTGTGGTACAGTATTATCAGGATTTAGAATACTCTTATGCGCACATTTTGCTTTTTATTTTATAATATTTAGCCATTTGTAAAGAACATAATAATAGTAATATACTTTCATTACTAACTTTATTCGTTATCTCATTCCTGAATCCTTATCGCTAGCTATTTTGTTAGGAAAAGACAACGTTATGATAATAAAGGGGAAAACGATGTATTATTGTTAAAAATCATGTGCAAAAGGAATAACACAAGCAACAAAAACGAGATTTGTCTTGACACAAGACATTGTAGCTTCTAGGAAAGATAACTTAGTGAACAGTGAGTTTGCCTACCATTAGGACCCCAAAGTGCGTGAGGTGGTTGCATAAGCAAACCGTCTCATTTTCATCAGACTCTGCGCCCACTTGGCAGCCCGCAGGGTTCCAGCCACCATTGCCACCTGTGGAAATGGAACAGGAAAAACCATACTCTCCAACAAGCTCATGTCACCCTCTCTTTTAACAGATTTCTCACTTCACCTGGTGCAAATGCAGAAGTGCTTTCTCAAACTGAATGACTGAACATTAAGATTTCCTGGTTTCCTTTTCAGAAGCAATAGATGGGAGATCTATAATAAAGGTAGGGAGTTTTTTGGTTAATTAGGGATGAATAAGACCTACTATGTGGATCAGGCATTAAGACACACCTTGGTTTTACCCAACAATAAGACGGTTTTAGCACTCCCTTTTACCACACTGATGTGATGTCTGCACCTGCCTCCCTCCTACTCATACATCCCCAGGCACATGTAAGCATTTATGGCCCAGGAGCAGAGGGTCCCGCCCTTCCTCTCTGCAGCGTGTAAGGCAGAAGGTCAGCGTGGGTAATCCCAATGATCCTTTGTGGCCTTAAGAAAAAACATGAAGTAAACTTCCGAGTAAACATGAGTAAACTCCCTGACTCACCCCACCTGAAAAGGCAATTCTGAAAAATAAGTAGAGATATTTTATTTTTAAAAACTAAATGTTAAAAAGTAAAATTTGCATTTCTGATGACTTCTCCTTTCATTTTTCCCTGCTAAATTACGAACTAATTTTGTGAAATAGTTCATATTCTCTGAACTCCTAAAGACATTTTTGTACAACTGCAGGCAAAATCCAGCAAATTATCTGACAAGCCCTATAACTTTCCCCCAAATTCATGACAGAATCTCTCAAAAGTCTGTGAAGATAATCCAAACCCACTTAAAACTCTCCCCTACTCATGCAGCCACTCAGAATAGTTTCCTTCCAGTATGTTTGTCCTTTAATGTGTTTCTTAAGTTTAGCTTCCTAACTAGATTTTTTTTCGCTCATTTTTATCCTTCTGCATTCTCCTCAATTCTTCTGTCTGAATTTCCTGCTTGCAAGTTCAACTTTGGATGGTAAATTTTATTTCTTGCAAGACCCTCTGTACTAAACCCCTCTGCTCAAAATCCTTCTGCTAAGGACAGTTACTTCTTTGCTCTCTCTGTTCCATCATAAGGAAGAGTAACATCTCAGTAGCAATCTCTAAAATAGAAGGATCTGGAAAGTCATCCCAGAGAATGGCTTTGTCTGTGCAAAGGATGAAGGGCCTGAGTGTAACACCACACACAGGTGAGGCAGTAGCAATGAAGTAGCAACGGGCTAAAATGCTGCCCTGTTAATGTGTGTCTGCATATGGGACCTCATCAGGCTGACTGTCATCCATTTACAAGGTGGATGAAGTTTGTGTAATGTAGTTCCTAACCTTCCACGGAAGAAAAAACAGTTGAATATTGGTAACAGGCACAGTCTAACAACTGAATACCCCAACATTTTAAAAATGATCAGTAAAAAGAATGGCTAAGAACCATTCATGTGTCTGAGTAGCATTACTATTTAATTTGCACATACAGACACATCAGTGGAAAACTGCTATCAGATACAGAAAAGTGGAGAAGCTTCATTTACAAATTCAAAATGTTAAACAAATGTACATAAAAAACCTTTTTAAAAGAATATTTAACATCTGCTGTTACAAGCAACTGTACTAACCAGAAGAAATTATACAGTCTAAAGACTTCATCTAATTCTGCAACGATATGATTAAGAAGCAAAATAGCCAAGACTGACTGATTTTAAAACTTAGACACCTTTATTCCCCACATAAAAGAAATTACAGTATTTTTAAACTTACCATTTTTATTCATATCCCAGAAGACACAGGTAGGCTTAGGATCTTCCTAAGAATACATGCAAAAGTAGACTTTGTATACCTCTTCAGACATAAATCTCATTAACATATGCATTTACAACAGATGTTTTACTACATAACTTTTCGTTTAATGAGCAGAAGAATAAATATCATTTGGATTGTTGAAATTTTGTCTAGTGTCAAATTAGAATTTATTCTGCTAGAAAGACAGATCTGCCTAGATTATAAAATCTAGAGCACTGTTCCTCTGCACTGTTCCTTTTCCATATCCTCAGAATAACGAAGTTTTATTGTCTTGCTAAAGTTATCCACGAGTATGATGTCTTTACAGAGTCTAAATACTTTCTACTATTCACTTCCTTAGGACTTCTCAGTGGATCTTCTATGCAACTGCCCTTGAAAATGTGCAAAAGTCTGCTGAATCTAAGTGGAGGTTGTTTTGCCTGACCTCAACATAATCATTATAATGAAATGCAAGATAAAGTTAATCGAAAATTACAAACCAGGTTCTCATTACATAAAAAATTTACTTAGGTATTGCATTTTAACATCTTCTTTCTTAACTTCTATAGTGCTATTGTCTCTTTGGAGTAGCTACTGACAACATGTCTGAGAACAGAGTCAAGCTCACATGTTTTTTAACTGAAATAGTATGTGCCAAAAGGTTGCATTTGGGCTGTATTTCCTAAAATTAATTGCAGTCTTCTTTTAACAACCTGGTTCTGTCCATTCTTCCTTCACTGAAAACCACATAACAACAAAATAACTTGGGGAACTATTAACAAAGCAATTCATATTTGATCAAAGAATTTAAGTAATTTTAAAGTTCCAGTGTAATAAATCTTGTCCCTGGTCACTGGTCATGAATATGGTCATGAACAGAGATTTTGCCTACAGTTATTGGCACAGAAATTGTATCTGAGGGGCAGAATCAATAGTCTGTCAGATAAATGTTAGATCACAAATGGAGTAGGAACGTGTGAAGCTGGGAGAGGTTGTTTTCACTTTTTGCTTCCTTGCTTTTGTTCTAGAGTTTTTATTTCCATTTCAGTTTATGTTCTTACTCAAAATCCATCCAAATCAATCACGCTATATGCTTAGCCTTCACTATATATAATCTGCATTCTTGTTCCTCTGAATAATCAGTCCTGTTTTTACCTGAATTTTGGTATGCTTAATTGTAATCTTCACATAATCCTGAAGATCCTGAATGGTTGTGTTTCCAATACTGCATGCCACCACAAAGCTGGTCAAATTGGCAGGATTTTCTGCATCCTTTGAAAGATTCAGAAAAATCTAATAAATGCTTACATAGCACATAACATAAAAGCCAAAGTACACAGTTTCATTTTTGTAGCATGCCAGAATAAATAAGTTGTCAGCATTTCTACACTTTTGATCACGCAATCTAAGAAAATTATGTTTATAAAATCAAATTATGGGTTTGCCTCATGGAAGTTTCCCTATTTTTCTTATAGTCATAAACATAGACAGGCACAATTATAGAGAGAGGTTAGAAGGCATAAATTCCCCTTTTAATCATTATGTCTGATGCCAACAAAACTATAACTCAAACAATGTAGCAGATAACAACCCATGATATGATTAGCTCATTTCCCCAAACAAGAATGAACTAGCTTTCTTATCTTATTGTTGACACTATCCTTTTTTGTAGATGCAAAGTTTTTTGGAGAATAACCTGTTTTCTGTGTATAGTTGCTAAATCATCCTCCATCTAACAATGAATGACTAAGAAGTAGTAAACAAACTGAAAGTAATGTTACATACTGTAGGAGATAATATTTTCTACAAGGTCTTATTTAATGGGAATTTAAATAGCAGACTGATGTAATCACTGAGCAATACTATTTCTAACCTGCAATGAAAATGTCCCAGGTTGAGAATTTTCCAAAAGAGAAGCTTTCCTTGGAAACTGATGATTTATTAAAATAGAAGTGCTTTGGAAATACTGTTTTCTTTTGATGATCTTTGAGGTCTCTTCCAATCATAATGATTCTATGATTCTATAATTTCCTAAAAACCTAAAAATTGCCGAGGAGTGAAAATGCAGTTTTCTAGATAGTTCTTGAGCATTGATACAAGAGAAAACCTCTGGACTACCACCTCAATTTCAACACCTGACAAAGTCTATGAAAGCCTTTGGACAGATTTCTATAGGTTTCAGTAGATTCTGTCTCTAGCAGACAACAAAAACTAGAAATAAATATCAGATGGTCTCTTTAGGGAAGGCGATTGAATATATTCTTATTTGTCCTTAGAAAGGAATAGAAATAATGTGTGCATTAAAGTAAAATACAGCTAACCGTTTATTTAGCTATAAGGCTGTGCTCAGCTAAAGGCAGGGGTAAGCTTTTAGCTAGTAAAATATACAGAGCTACAAAGTAAAACAATGCTGAGGCTAGCATCAGTGACATAAATCTGGTCTAGTCTAGATAATCACTACAATTCATGTATTTATCATATTTGCACATTATTTTCACGGCCTCAGAACTCATGAGGAATATCCTTCCAACCCAACTTCAGACATGTAAAAAGAAGATTTCTACAACCGAAGCAGCCATTCTAGCATTTCTTAACCTAGTTAATGAAAGGCACATTCAATGCATAATCCATCTTACCTATTCTATACATCTAGGCCGAATATGAGTTGCCTCAAAATAAGTGTCCATTTTAGAGGCTTTAAGGTATCCTGCCCAGTCTCCAACTGCTACTGCAGAAGACCTCACATCTCTTACAGGTTCACTGCCACATCTGTTGGCCAGTAGAACCTTGGGGTGTCTCAAAGTGCATTATGCTCCTTTGTGCAGGGAACTGACGCCTGGTCCTGCACTAGGATGAGATGTGTCACACCTCAATGGTGTCCATTCTTCTCTATCAACCGGCTTTGAAGGCAACTTATGGACAACAGTTCAGGCATGGGTATGTACACCAGACACACCTGTCTTTGGTGAAATGAATTCCACCCTGCAGAGCCTACATCAGTTTTTCACAGTCTTCTAAGTAATGTAACCATCAGATTTCAAGGAATGACAAGATAAAACTTACTAGCATTCTCTCACTTGCAATAAATAAAACAACCTCCAGTGCTGTAAAGTATGATGGTTCACTGTTACGCTGAATGCTTATAAGAAATACAGCTAATAGCATTGAGAATTTTTTTTAAATTGCAATTGGAATAAATATATTTATTAAATACTTTAATACTAATGGATAAAGTTAGAAGGTTTGAGATGGCATGTGGATCAATTTATTTTTAGGCTTGCTTGCTTGATTTTTTTTAGACTTACTTTAGACTTACTAAAACGCGAGTTTTACATATTTTTGATTAATTGTGTTGAACATGTCACCCATGAATAGTTTGGAAAACACACAAAAAAATGGAAGGAATTTTAGTTGCAAATTTACATACAAATTTCCCTTGGTTTTGCTTTTCAATGACTTATTAAGTATCCCTTAGAAACACATTCTAGCACCATTAAAGGACGCATTCTGACTTTGTAAGATTTTATGCCATTATAACAAGCCTATATCTGTATTCTTCTGGTTCCTTTATTAAATATATCCATCCTGTTTTTCTCAAAAGCAGACGTAAAGTCAATACTATTTAAAATAGTTAAAGATACTTCGGCGTGTATTTCAAAAGGCAACTGAGGGTCATAGGTATTTTCTTGCCTAGATTATCTGAAGAATCTGGATACACTGCCAATAAAAACGATAATATAGGGACAATACAATACTACAGAGTTCTGCGGATGCGTAAGAGTCAAAGGTCACTTGAAATACTAATGGGAAAACAAACTCAAGTCTTCTGAGGCTCAGTCTACAGGTCACTATGAAACAATGTTTCCTTCTTAATTAACTCTTTTTTTTCAAAATAGGTATGTTTTTGGTTGTTTTTTTCCAAGCTGCAAACTCTTCCTAATTTTTTTGGCATCTACCATACAGGAACTACTTATAATTACCATGTGATGGGACACAAAGGATTAAAAAATCAAATCTACCTGAGTCCCTTTAGTTTTCAGGTACAAGCATTGTTGTCCTTATTCCATATTAAAATACGGTGTGCTTATGAGAACATGTGTATGAAAAGAAAAATAGTATGTATAGAAACAAATGTTCTCTGGCTGATGACCATCAGCCCAGAGTTTTCAACTGAATGTAAGTAGTCAGTTGGATATGAGTGCCAATCAACTCTTTTAAGGAAAAGAGAAAGAAAGAGTACTTGTTACACCCTTTAAGTTATACCCTTTAAGTGGCCTCGCTACCTTACTCTGATTATAAGCAGCTGGGATACAGTTTTCCATAGATGATCCTGAGGAAAAGTTTATCTTCTGCGTGACAGGAATTTGCAGTCAAATCATTGACTTGAATTCTACTTGGGCACTTTGACTATTTTGTCACTCTGAACATAACACTGTCCCTAGTGCCTACATCTGCTATCACCTTCTCACTCCTATAACTCATGAGATGCTGTGAAATCATCACACTACAGGAAACTTTTAGCAGCTGGCTTTGACTCACCCTAACTGACACGACTTCAAACACATTAAAGTTTACCTGAAAAAGACCATTTTTATTGAAGAAAGTAAATTGAGCCCTGGATATAACTTCAAACTCATCTTGACTTAAATTCTTCAGTAAACTTGGTGGCAGAACAACAGAAGCGAAGGCATTTGTCTGATCCTTGTCAAAATCAATCTGTTAAATAAAAACAATAGCAGAACATGTTCAAATAAAAACCAAACCATCCATTGTCCACAACTGGGTTTAGATCCTTACACAAAGATATCTAAACAATGTGACCTATACTTATGTGAGAGTTAATGTAATAAATAAATTTAAAAAAGGCTTAGGAGGTTCCCCACCCTTCTGGCATGAGATAAGCCTTCTGCTACAAAAAAGTATTAGGTAAAACAAACAAACAAACTCCTCCACTGCTATAATGATGATTTGGAAATAATGAGATGGCAATAATGGTAGTCATAATAATTTTCAGTAACCTTCAAGATACTTTTCCTCATACCAAATAACGATGAGAGCTGAAAAATACGCTCTGAATCTTTCTTTCTTGAGTTGTATTATTTGGCTTGATCTGCACATCTGAATTAACTCTCTTACGAGCTTTTCTAGTTTCTCTGTTACAGAAGGGAGATTTAAGAATAATGACTAGTGTCACCTCTCTCTATCATGCTATGTAGCACAAAAAAAAGACACTTTCTGCCATCAGTACAAGCTTAATCTATACTGGCAACATGTCAGACAGCTGAAAGCCCTCCATGGCATAGGGATGTAACCAGTGAGCCGGAAATAAATGAGGATGCAAACTTGCATTTCATTAGCCACCAGGCAGCAATTCTATGACTGCATGCTCTCCCACCATGGCATATTCATGTGCCACCCTACCCACCAAAGGAAGGGGAGCAAGCCGTCTCACAGTGGCTCTATAGTAAAAGCATGTAAGAATTTTACTGTGAGATAAGGAAACTCACACTCCTGACTTCTCCAGAGGCAACCTGGTCATGTATTTATGGCTCTCATGATTAGTCGTATGATTCTAAAAGAACCATTAGCTAATAGAAAGTTAAAAGCCATAGGCTACTGATACATTCATTTAACTTCTAAATTTTCACTGATTTACTGTGAATAACAGGCACCCTTGAAAATTAGTAAGAAGTGGTTCATAGATATCTCCTGACAGGGTGACATGCAGGTGAATAAAAGGTTTTCAAAGGATAATTCTGCCACATTAAACAGAAAGTATGTGTGTGATAAAGATGTCCCACTAGGTATTGTCTGCAAAAAGAGTTGAAGAGGCTTCTATGAAGAAGTATGGATATATTACAGGAACAATTTAATAATATGAATCACCAAAAGCTAACTTAGTCAAAGCTTTGGCAAGAAACATAAAGACACAGGAGACTGAAATAGAATCTTTCCAAATTGCCATGGATACATTTGCTTGATATCCACTTTAAGAAAAAAAAATGAAATAAAATCTGGAAACATTCTGGCATACAGCTTGAAGAGTTTAATGCTCCCTGATGAGCCTGGGATAGATTATCACGTCACTGGTGAAAAACCTGGGCTTTCACAAGGGAATCTCCCTCCAGCAGGGATAGCAAGTATCTTTCCTGATAGGCACGGAAAATATAAACGGTGACCACAGCTGCTGCAGACTTTTCTGGTAGGAAGGATGCTAAGAATTCTCAATCAGCTGTTGGAAATGTGAAAGTCTCAGAACAAACTTATGTTCCAATAGGAACATTATAAATAATTTGACAGAGTTTGGATTTTATGATTATTTAGACAGTGCTGTAATAAATGATTCCAGGGCAAGAAAATTCCTGGATGTCTTCAAGCCACAGATGGTAATTCTTATTATACACGCGAACATCCCAAACCTGGCTTCAGAATTTTTCCTTTCCTCTTTCCATAAATACAGGATGAAATCTGGAGGAGAAACGTTCCTTTGATAACGATAGCTTCATTAATAAGAGAGCTAAACAAAAGTAGATTTACAATCATCAAAAATTTCTAATAAAATTGATTCAAAGAAATTTTAGCCAAAATGTCTATGAATATAAATATGTGAAAACTCAATTACATTAAATCCATTTGTATCTATTTAAACCAGCATTTGAGTTTTGATCCAAAGTCTATATAAACAGCATGTAAAAGGCCTGCAGCCTATTATATTATTACTTTTTCTAGCACTGTGTTCATCACTGTTTTTCATTTTTACAGTACATAGTACTTTATAAAATGATCAGACATTTATTAGGATTGTTGTCTTGCCAATTTGCAGTGGGAATTAATTTGGTTCCATAAGATGCTTATACTCTAGTGATTATTCTTTAACCATTTTCATAACGCAATGTTTTGTTCAAATTCTGTTTTGGTTCCTCTGGCACAAATGATAGTAGATTTTTTATTTTTCTGTTTAATCTTTTCTGTGTGTTTCTCCAAGTAAAGCTCACTGTATTTGAATGGTTAGACTCCCAGGAAACTGAGATTACATTATCTCTGCCATAGACTTCCTATATAACTGTGAAAAAAAAAATTGCACTACATTTTTGAAAGCATTTAGGTGCCATAAGATGCAGACAGGCATATAGTGAAATTTAAAAAGTCTCAGCACCTCATTGCTACTGATTTCAACAGAACCTTTGGAAAAATCCAGCAGGTGCTCGTGTGCATCTCAAATGCTATTTCATAGCTTTTAAATTTCTGAGTTTTTCTATTTGTGAAAAAAAGAAGAAAAAATATTTTTGAGGTGATGACAAATATCTTAACTATAGCAGTCTGTCTAGATACTGTGGCACGGGAGACCATTCTGCACTTGGAGTGATTTGTGTTTATTTTTCATGTCTAGGTTGGTCAAGCTCCACATGAATGTCCTGATCCCCTCGGACATCCCAAATGACACAAGCCTATCAACCTGTGTGTGGACAAATGGATCAGCCTTAGGTCTCTGTTAGCAGTAGGTGTTTAAACTATACTGGAAGGTTGAAGACCTAGTGTATCTGCATGAATCTACATGTAGATACCTACATTTAGGTGTCTTATTCCAAACCTGAAATGCATCAATGGAGTTGTTAGCTAGTGTACAATGGGTAATACAGCAGACTGTTAAAGATTATTTTCCCTTTTCATTAGTAAAAAGAAACTAAAAAGGATAAAGTCTGTTCTGGATTTGTAAGCAAATTACTTTTCATCTGTATGGAACACGTGAGTTTATCTGGATTTCCTGTCACTCAAGGAAATACTACATTAATCTCTTTGGATGATTGCAGGAAAAAGGAAATAGAAAGCAGGGGGAGAATTGGGAGTTGTAAGTGGTTTTATAGGAACCACAGTACACATACTTGGAACAACAGGCACATTTCATGTTCAAATACAACTGCTTGTTCTGTACCTGGAAATCAGATGCATTATTCTGTGGACTGACACTGAAAGAACCACCTTTGAATGAAGTTGAGTTTATAGAAGACACTCCAAGTGCAAGGTTTCGTGTTGAAATACTCATGGATGGTCCAGTGAACTGGATCTTTAAAGCCAAGGCATCAATAGTTTTTAGAGCTCTAAAAACAGAAATAAAATTATTCTAAAAACTGAACACAGGAAAAAAAATACTGTGCTCTGTATGCTCTCCACGTTTAAGATGATCCTCTTATTACTGACTATGTTTCTATCTCCCATCTGTGTATTCACAAGGAGACTGTCAGGCTGTAAATTTATGCATCTCTGTTGAAGACAAAAGCTTTTAGTTGACAGAAACTATCTGACTACATATCACTGGTCCTGAAATAATCTTCGACCAATACTTAGATCTATGCTGTGTCATGTATCAGGAGACTTCTTTTCCATCCAAATGCTTCATCTTTGTCGTGCACACTAATTTTAGTACAAGAAGAAATATTTGTATATCTAATTTGGAAAATTCTTTTTGATGTAAATCAGAAAAGTTTGATTTTTGTACTGCAATTGTTTGTCTACGTATGGAAGGACGAATCCTTCCAACCTTGCAGGTTTCTCTGAAAATCTTGTCTCAAATGTAGAAATACTTACTCTGAAGACGATGCTGCCAATACACTGTCTGAACTGGTTAGAATATTGGAAAAAATTGTCACCACGGTAGAACCCAGAGATTCATCAATTTCTTCATCATTCACAATTTTTTTGAGCTTCTGCACAACATCATTTACTTTGTCTGAGGTTAGCTGCTGCCCTTCACCAGTGAGATTCAGAAGCTGATTGGCTATATCAGCTGCATTTTCTGTAAGTTTACACGTAAAACAAAATAGAAAGAGAAAATAATGCGTATCAGTCCTGAAGTAATTCAGAAACATAAATCTTTATCCTCATCGTTGAAAGCTAGAGGATATTCTGTGGTACTTGTAATGAATGTAGAATATTATGATTTTATAAAATCTATAATTTTATGAGAAAGTATATAGAACCTGCCGATTATTATATACTGTCCTCATTGGCTGTGTCTGTCTTTTCCTTACTTTGATCTGAGTTTGTAAATCAGAGCTATTATTGAAAGGGCTGACTGAAAGAAAAAAAGGGGAAGTAAGAAATAAAAAGTGTATTTTTCTCTTTTTTCCTCCTTATGCTATCCTTTCTTTTTTACTGGGAAAACCAGTTTCACTCTTGAAGTGAAAGAAATGCATCCAAAGTCACTATTACTGACACAATATTCACTCCTTTAAGCTTTGGGGAGAAAGTCTGACCCCACTGCAGATGTTTCAGTTCTTTCAGAGGATTGTGCTCTTACTCAGAGGGTTGGCAAGCACAACACACAACCCAATTTAATGAAAAGAATCTTCTTGGTAAGGAAAGTTTGACAGTATGTCCAACGGCAAAATATTAGTGTAAATCACATGTTAAACTGTAAGTTTGATGCCACCTGGATAGAAAACTAATGTAAACACTAACATTTTACAATATCAAAATATTTGAGATTTATTGGAATTCGCAAATGAGATTTTGAAAGAAGATCAGCCTTTAGTCTGCAACTGGTTGTGGTTTTTTTAATGTGGTGTTTTATAACATAGCTTTTGCCACATTTACTGTAGAATGTTCATTTTACTTGAAACGATGTTTTCATGTATCTTGACTGCAAATACTCAATCAACTAAATCAGGCAGCAGCCAGGCTCCCTAGGACCCCTCTATCAGTGGAGAAAGAAAAAAAGCCTTCTCCAAGAAAACAATTCAGAACAGGAGCCTATTGCAGGTGCTCCGAATTACTTATGACAGTATCATTCTCTTCACTAGCCCTGGCACAAATCAAAAAAGCCATAAAATTGTTGTCTGTTTATTTAACTACTCCTTTAAGTCCAGAATGACATCAAGGGGTATTTTTACCACTGAGAATAAATCTGAAAATGTCTGATCGTAAGACCAGTGAAGAGAGTGGGAGTCTTTCCACTGGGACCTACAGGCATTGGAAATATTTTAAAATTTGTCTGAATCTGAGTATCAAATTGAGGCAAGCTATCACCTGCCTCTATTCATGCCTAAATTACCTGAACAGTTTGATTTATTTCATTAATTGGTATCCAGAGCTTTTCATGGGTGGGCTGAATTCAACTTGGTGCATTTCCCTAGGGTTTAAATATTTACTTTGTACTGATTTTTTAGAAAGATTTTAAACAACTTAGCATAAAGGCTGAAGTTATTCTTCCTTAATGCCACTTCCTTATAGTAAGCAGTAACCAAAGTCTACAAAACTATTCCTTCAGCCAAAGACAAATACCAATATACCCACCTGTGCAATTTCTAAGATCAGGCTGGCCCCAGTATGATGTATAATTCTGCAGACCCAAATAGCTAAAGAGGGAAAATGACAAAATTCACATGAAATACAATAGCATAATTATGTAAATGTTTCATAATTCTTTTGTAGGTGTCACAGTGGTCCACTCTTCTCAAGTCACAATTTCTCTAGCAACAGGGCCCCTAGTGAAATGAAATATGTATGCTTGACAGTGGAAATATGTGATTAATTAAGTGACAGTGCTGAGAAAAACCCTAGTGTTTTGGGGCAAATTCACAGCTAGTTGCTATACTGATTTGATAAACTGCATCAGTGGAAATTCTGGCCTTGAACTTTCAGGAAAGTTTGTTGACACAAACTATTATGTTCTTAGTACGGCCTAATCAGATGCTGTTTCTATAATTTTCCTTTAATATAAACGGCTTTGATCAAGTCAATAGCAAGCTGTAATTCCTCTCAGAACATGCAGAGGAGCTATGTGGAGATAGAAACTTATGCCACCCATGAAAACTACAGTAGGTCACTATCAGATCCAGGTCCAAGGTGAGGGGCACATATAAAGATTTTTTTTTTCCAAGACGCTTTTTAAAAATGCCTTACCATAGCAAAATACCCAGATATGGCTCCAAATTTAAACACACTTTTTCCTCAGTTTTCTTTAAAGACAATCATGTTATCATAGCATGGCAAAGGCAGGATGGAGAACAGGAAAAAGTTATCCTTTCACTAGGCACATGATGGAATAAAGTTATTCCTCAGTTGATCACCTTTATTATAACAGCAGGTTATAATGAGCAGGTAACCTTCTACTGTGGAATGCATGGGACTAGATGAGACTATTAGAAGAGCTTCCTCTTCTCTCAAAACACATCCCACCTGTGCTCCAGATTGGCAAAAGCTAGTGGAGGCAGAGGCAAGGAAAGCATAGCACAGTGCAGAACACAGGAATTTTTTTTCTGAGCAGTGCTGCACACAGACAATCAACGGTATTGTGTAGACCACAAATGAACAATAAAGATAAGCAATACTGGGGCAGCAAAGGCCAGAAGCCTTAATTTTTAATGATTCTGAGGCTCTGACAAAAAAACAATTTGATTTCTGCACTACTCTTTCTACAACAAAAGTTGGTCAATCAGAATCCAGCAGTTCTTGTACAAGATTAAGAGGCTGAGGAAGTGAGTTAGTTAAATATAATGCTGGTTGCTTTCCTGTTTGGCACAAAACCTCAAAGCTGATTCACATCCATGTTGCCATATTGTTTTCAAAAAGTAAAAGATCTGGTCTTCTCAGAACATGTTCCAGATGCAATGTGGGCAGATAAGACTACTATATTGCATTTAATGGTGATCACACTAAATACTGAAGAAATTAATTAACATTCCATCATCGTAGCCATGTTCAAGGCACTCAAAGGAGATCAAAGCTATATTGTTTTGGTAATGTATCAAAGGAAGTAATAATATTCCCATTTTACAAATGGGAAATACAGTGTCTAAATCTTTTGTAGATGTTCACAAAGAAAGCCTACATTAGGGAATATTTATCCTAAACCTTAAAAACGTAAGTTCAAATCTTTAAGCATAAGATTATCCCCACCTTCAATTATTACTAACTACTGGCAAAATGCTTGTTTCACAGAATTTCTTTTACTTTCCCTTAATGAGATGAGAGGTTCTGGATTAAATCAAATACATGTCTCATCTCATAGAATTTTGTTGAGAATTTCTTATATAAGTCAGATAGTAGTAGCGGAGTGGTAACAAATGTGAAACTTTGGTTTCAGTAACATAAACAACATGACTTGAAGAAAGCAGTTTCATTCTGTAAGAAGGTGCTATTTTTAGAGTCACTTTGAACATGTATGAATTGTGGCCCTCAATATGCCCTACAGAAGCGGTAGATGAGCATTTGTTCCGTACCAATGAAGTACATACTCCTACTGCACACACATAATCTCATAGTATAGAAATCATCCTCCTGAAATACAGTACCAGTCAATGGCAACCATTACGGAGGACACAGTTTAACTATATAACCAGAAAGTTGCATTTGAAGCTCTCAGCTTCTCAGGTATTTGAACACCTACCAGGTTCTTGATGCAGTCTGAACTGAGCTCCCATGGCAAAATGTGTAGTTGGTCACTGTTGGTCTGGTATCTGGCCAAAAATAGTTTGGAGGGTTTTCTTCAGCTAAACATTTTTCTGTAAAAAGAAAAGTATATCAGTGTTAACGGTAAATTCCTTCATCTAATCATCTCCCATTTCTTGTCCTCAGCTCATCAGCCAGCCTACAGCATAAACCTGTCTTCAACTGAAATGCTTGGTTGTTGTCCATAGAGTAGTGGTAATGGAGGGGTGCACAACGGGGGACAATATACACTGCTGCTGCTCAAGGGAAAGGATTAAACGTGCGTGCTGCATCCACTTGCACTCCACCAGCCCTGACCTCCTCCCTCCCAAGGGAAGGGCAATCTCTAACTGGAAGAAGTTGAATGGGAAGAGATGAGAGCTAAAAGGAGACAGATTAAGGGCAGTAGCTGGCAGGAGCACAAACAACAGGGTTGAGGAGTGGTCATGAGGGGCCTTGGAGGTACAAGACGTCTCATTATAGCTCTGGCTGTAAATCATACTTCTTTATCCTCAAACTACTAGAGGAGCCGTCAGGAACTCTGTCCCAACCTCTTTGAACCAGACAGCAAAACACTGACTAAAGCAATCTGGACAACTGTGTTTGTGTTAAAAGAGAGATCTTGAGCACAGCTCTCTGAGATCAGTGGAACGAGGTTTAAAGGGACAATTTGAAATCTGAAACAGTCATACTGTTTGCAAATGTGTGATTATTTTAACACAGAAGATGCTTATTAATGGACAAGCAAACAAAATCTGTTGTGTAACAAAGTCAAAAACTACTTACCCACTGGATCAACATCCACAGTATGAAGCGTATATCCTCCTTCTATGGTTCCATTATTATTTATGAGCTTCTGTCGGATGTCTTCCTCTTCTAAATTGATGTTGTTGGTAGAATTATAAACCAGAAGAGCCAAAACCTCAAAACTGCAAGGAAAATTATCCGACTGTTTGAGTCAGAACAGCAGAGGCCAAATGCGTGGAAATAAAAATATCTGACAAACTCTGGTTTTCTGAGTATGGAACAGTGTCACCAAGACAATGTTGCTCATTATCTGTAAATTGTTATTTTTGTATATATAGGGCCACGAAAGAAAGTACGGTTGCAAAATGTCATCCTTTAGTTATCATTAAAGAAACATCTCATCAAAAGAGCGAAGAAATATTTTCAGAAGATTTAGATTATTTTAAAACATATTAAAAGATGAAAGCATAAAGTTGTGAATTCGAAGTTCTAAATGGGCCCTAATTGAATTTAAAAATCTGGTCAATGATGGCTTAGGAACTTAAGAGCTGACTCATGCCAGTTTACAAAACTTGTCAGGATGGGACGAGACATGCTCCAGAGGGTCTATCTCTCCACCGACTACAGAGAAAGACTAGAATATTAATAAAGAACAGATGCCTAACATTTAAATATCTGAATTTTGATGGAGTGAAAAACACCCTGACACATTTCTGAAACTTTTAGTCCTAATTAGGAAAGTCTAGTTGCTCAGATGAGTAATTCAAGTTTAAGCACTAATAGCTGTTTTGTACTATAGCCCACTGCTACTTTCTTGGGCATAAGAAGTAGTTCAAAGTGCCCAAGCCTCTTTCCTGTGAGAGAAATAAAACAGTCCCCACCCTTGTCCAAAAACATAGCTTTTCTGGAAGGGAAATAATGAACAGCAAAGCAGTTCTAGCAGGACACAGGAAAGAAGCCCAGAGTGGAAGGCTCAAAAAATTTCCTCCTGGGACACAGAAAACACATGTTGGAGAAGAGAATATGTCGGTACCCAAGAGCATTGCTTGGCTCAGGCTAGTAGGAGGTGACGCCACTGAAGCATGGAACATTGGATCTCCATGGGAGCCAAAATGTGGAAAAAAAGAAAAAGCAAGCCTGCTTTAGGCTGTCTTCATCTTAGCCTTGCCCTTGGATACCCAGCAGCTTGAATAAAGACAGACCTTTGTGGTGTGGGAGCAGTTCCTGGCAGGCTGGGAAGTGGCAGCCCTGCCAGCACACATGCAGTGAGCAGGGCACACACCGAACAGGGCTGCTTTCACTGGTTGCCCCCAGTGCAAGAACGCAGCAGTGAGCTCAAGGGTCTTGTCATCTACCTGAAGAAGAGTAGGAGAAAAAACGTGTAGGGGCCCTATATGGGAGAGGGCTAGTAGGGTTTTCAGGTACCCCTGCCGAGACAGACCAGGACTTCATTTCCAAAAGTCTTCCAGAAAGACATCCCCATCGTGACAGCTCCGAGTTGTACTTTCCAGAGGTGCCTACTCTAGTACAGTTTAAAACTACAGCTTAGTGTAGAGATGTTGCTCTTAGATGGTAGATTTAACCCTCTTTCTGTCAGACATCATTCTGAAAACTGAGTAACTCCAACCAGTAATTCTGAAGTACTCTAATTAGTGAAATGGCATTAAAAGAGTTGGCATCAGAAAGCAACCTCTCAGTCTACGAAAAAAAAATAAAAGCCCAAACCTCACAAAGAAATCATGAATGTGAACTAAATACTCAACACTCCACACATTTGATTGTTGCAGATGTAAAAAAGTAAATAAATCTACACAGTCCCTGGTTGGTGGGGTTTTTTGTTGAACACTAGTACATTTTTACTTTTTTCTTGCCATATCTGCTGTTTTACTGGTAACATGTTGCTGGAGAAGAAGATAAAAATGTGACTACTGGCTGGCTTGGCTTGTTTTTTCCCCAGAGGTTGTATTTTAGCAGAGAAACTCCAGCTATCCCTGACTAGGTTGCTCCTGCCATGCTCCCAGAGATACTGAGTTCCTCTTAACATTCCTTAGGTCTCTGGGGAATGTTTAACATATGGCAATAGCCTCAGTAGGGTGGATGTGCATTAGCAGGCTTTTGCTGTATACCTCGGATATATTACGAGGCACAAGTTTATTATGGCATTTATTTTTAGCAGAAGCATGGAAATTGCCTACGGAATTGCCAATCCCTTTAGCCCTCCAGTACTTCAGCCCCAGAGTCTCCTGGCACTTAACCATCTTTCCTAAAAGATTCTGGCTTCACTCATCTATTCCCCTTACTTCAGAAGAGGAAAACTTAATATACTGATGCCACTCCCTACCTCAGCACTTTGGCTGCAAAACAGAAGTCATAAGTGAACAGTCACTGCTGCTGTGCTATGCTGTCTATTGCAAGACTCCCAACTAACCAAAATGGTATTTAGTACCCATAACTGTGCAGAGGGATAATGGCAACAAAACAGAAGGGATAACGATAGATGGGGTAGAACTGGTTACAGTTATCTTGAACAATCATAGAGAAAGGTATTAATTATGAAGTACTGATAAAAATAATCTGTTAAACCACTTCATTATTTGTTTTCTGAGAAACTCTTATAGCACAAGTCATGTATACTGTGTAGTAAGAGCCTGTTCCATATCGTGATGAAAATAATTTCTATAAACTTTTCAGAATGACTCATGCTAGCTTCCCAAAGTAAATAAATACCTTTTAACTTGACAGCTGACGCAATATGAAGCTGAGTGCTTCCTTCCACTTTTGTCACACTCACATCCCAGAAAGAAAACATTTTGATGGTGAAGAACAAAATTCTCGATTTGGGAAACAGTAGGCCTACACTCAAAGAAATGGCAACACTGCCATGCTCTGCCAGTGTCACCAGATTTGCTACACCCAACCTTACATCTTTTATTGTGTGCCATATAAAAGCAGATAGATTCTCACAGCAGTAATCAATTACAAATTCCACATCACCTACAGTAACCTGTACTGCTAGTATTACTGCTGTCAATATAAAAGAATGGACAGTGCTGTAGGTAAACACAATGGGGATAAGTATTTATGCCTCTCTTCTCTTTGACTGAAATGGTGACAGCTGGACCAAGCAGGAAAGCAGGGGAAAACCGGCATCTATCCCACTTTGTCCTGGTTCGTTGAGCTAAGCTGGCTCAGAGAGAGGAGTTTACGAAGCTGCAGCCTCATCAGAGGCACAGGAGGCGGCGGGGGCCCCTGAGCTGCCATGGCGCGTCCCACAAAGCCGGCTTTCTTCTCCAGCAGCGTGACTCAGAGCTATTCCAGGACAGTGTGCCTACACACGGGCTGTGGTCTCACTGCTACGCCATGCGAGGAGCCTGAAGGAAGGATTAACAAACCATGCGAACCGTGCAGCACAGACTGTCTCATACCTGAAGATATGTGGTTGATAATTAGCAGTGCATATTTCTCCTCTTATTTCAGTTGCGCTAGACAGGTTAAACTAATACTGAATTATTGTGGTTCTCAAACTGTTGAACAAATCACTGTTAATTTCTTTTGTAGTTAATGTTACTTGATTTAAAGTATATAAAGAATAATTTTCAAAGCACCGAAGTACTCAGGGAATCTAAACTTCCACTAAAAGTCACTGGGAATTTAATTCCTAACTACTCTGGCATATTTCAAAAAGTCAGCATTAAATTCTTTACAAATCTTGCTGTTACGTTGGCTTTGAAGATAAGCAGCAACAGGTAGCTGTAACTCAAGACTGGCAGCACAGGTAGGCCCATATAGTCACCTGCAAACAATACTAACTTCTTCACATTAACTGGACAGACAGAATAAGAGCTGACTCTTGCACAAGTCACTCTGGAGACGTAATGCAAACAGCAGACAAAATGTTAGAAAACACACAGAATGAGACAGAAAGAAATATGAAAGTAGAGGCAAACTAAAAGCATTCCACAAAAGCATCTGAGTCATGGATAAAGTTTTACTTCAGGTGATTTTGACTGTGATACCATTAAAATGTTCAGAAGAGAGGGTAAAAAAATAGCACTGGGCATAATAGACACATTCAAAGTAATGCCAAGGATGAAGAGGTTCCTTTCTCAGCAGAAGGTGACGTTAAAGAAAAAGTATAAAATTTGAGACTTCAGGACATAAAATTAAAAATTGAACTACTAAAAAGAAAAGCATTCTAAGCCTTCCTTTTAAGTTAATGGCCATTGTATCAGAACAGTGCTGTCAGCAGCATGGTCATACTCCTGTGCCTGTCCTTGTGTCTCCAGGCCTCGCTCTTCCTTGCGGATCTGGTGTGGGAATACAAACAACTATGGCTTTTCAACAGAAAGCACTTATAATACACGATGATTTGGTATGAAGACTATTCATTAGTAGAGAATGAAGCAGAAAGGCAAAACAGAAAGGGCTGGAATCCCTCACATTTCAACAGCTGGTCTTTCCTGAAATGAGTTTTTGGTTACGCTTGAACTATGTTCCAAAACAACAAAGAAAACCCCCATTCCCCAATACATTACTTTCCTAAAAGCGGCATCTAACAATGTCAGATCCACACTAAATCCAGTTAAAGTCAGTGGAAAGGCAAAGGAAGTAACTGGAAGCTGGATCAAGAGCAGGCAGAACTAAGAAGGGATCATCCTTCAGTCACTCAGGAGGAATTCCCAAATTCCTCCATCTGTGATGAAGCCTTTCTTTACAGGTCATGGACACAAGATGCCAGCAGGGCACTGTGGAGAAGAAACCTGCAGATTTCTGCTTGGCTCTTTGTTGATTTGTTTTTCAAGCAGCAATATTACACATAATGTACACATTATGCAGCATTTTGAAATGTTTCTCAGCACTGGTCAAAGCTGTCTCTTACTGCCTTCAGTAACACTGAAGTTGAAGTTGCGGGGAGTAGGGGTGGGCCAGGTCCAAGTTGATCCTAAAACCTCACCAGTAGAAACTAGGAAAAATTTTAAAATAGGAATAGGCGTCACAGATGCGTTCATTTATAACTAGAATAGCATTATTATTTCATAATAAATAATTTGAAGTAATCTACAAAGAATGCAAAAGCCTAATACTTTACTCAGTAAAGATACTTAGGACTATAAAAGCAAAATTATGCTGCTCTAATGTTGCTAACTCCTGTCTAAAACTATTACACAATCTAATTAGCTTAAGTTTTATCCAAGTGCATTAAACTTTCCATTAAGCAACACAGCATCCAAGAACACAGCATGCAGGAGCCTGAATCTGCCTCACTGACACTGGTGGCAAAACTCCCACGGACTTCGAAAAAGCAGGACTAGGCATGGGCAGCTCTGATTTCCTGCTTACCTCTCTATTCTCATTCCTAAGAGAAGGGATTTCTGTTTAAGGTTAGTGGTCTTTACACAGATGGCTACCACTGTGGTTTTTAATTCTGACGAGTTGCTTAACAGTACTAACATTAATGTTGTTTCACATAGTAGAAGCAATTGAACACAGGAAATAGGCCAAAATTATGACAATCAAGTAGTGGAAGTTGGAGCAAGCATGATCTTATTTGTATGTTAAGTGGAGGAAAGGTTACAAATGAATTGGGGCCTGAATTCTCAAAATTGCTTGCAAAATAAAAGAAAGGAGAAGTGGGGGAGCTGACCTGTTTAATACAGACCAATTCCCCCCCTGAGGCAGGCCTACACAGTCATCTGACAAGACCTAGGATCAGTAGGATCATTCTGAGAAAAGCAGGAGCAGCAGTCATAGAAAGTTTTGACAAAGCTGCAGAGTCATAAAAGGCAAAGAATTAATGAAAGAAACGAACACATTTATAATTTATCTACATAAAACCCACCAATCGGCTTCACTTTCAAATGTTTGTACAAAATAACGGGGGACAAAGAAACAGCTATGTTCATAGCCCATTCTGAGCTCCTGTCTACTTTATTTTGAACAGCTGCCCTCTCATTAAGAGATGGAAACAGTATGACCAAAGGAAAAAATTAAACACAAAGTCAAGTATAGCTGTGATAAAATTCTGTCTATTAAAGTAGTTAATAATCTACTAAAGTAGCAGAGCTTGATATACTGCTGTCATCCAGAGATCTCACAGTATTAAAGGTGCTGATAATAATATGCACTTTTGGACTTGGCACTCTGTTTGTCTCTCATCACCGTGCACATAAACGCATAATGAGCACAGTGTACTTTGGATTTATGCAGCTCATAAAACACAGCAATGAAAGAATAATAATCCATTTCCATAATTTTGTTTTGTTTTGCTCTTCTCCAGAACGCAGTACAGTTTAAAATATTTATTTGGAAAACACCTATTTTTAACATGCCAAAAAAAAGCCAGCTTCCTACCTCCCATTTCCAGCTTCTATTTCTTCTCTGAATCATTCTCTCTAATGATTCTTCCTCTTTCACTTGCAAGAAGACTAGGTGGAGAGTCTGATAACTGAAGTTCCTTGATAAGGTAGCAGTTTGGTAAATAATGGTTGAAGCAAAGCAAAATGCATAGAAAAGGTTGGGAAAAGTTGTTTTGGTTTGGTTTTTTTTAACTGTTGTATAAAATGCTAATCCAAAAGGTAAGGAAAAAAGATGCAATCAGAATGAAGAGAATATGAATTCATGTAAAGAGAAGGAAAACTTCTCAAAGAGCAATTTAAAGAATTATAATAGTGCCTTAGAAATAAGGCGGCCATGATCTTGTAGAAAATTCAGATAAGAGAGGTTAAGATAAGATAAGGTTTAGTGAGTTAGACTAATATGTTCACTTCTGTAGAAGATAAAGTTAAGGCCATGATACTTATGGGTTGGGTCTTAAATCTTAACTGTGGAGTGAAATTCTATTCAGATGAACATGAAAGTAAATGAAATAAGTAGTACTTAAAAATGAAGGGAAATAGTGGAATGTCTAAAACTGCAACAGACTTATTCTTGACTATCCAAAATGGAGAAGTAAGAACGTCTTTGGACAACTATTCACAGAAATGATTTATATGAATATTTCATTAATAGAAACTGTAAAAAATCACACTATGAGCAAGTTACACACAAGAACTCAGCCACAGCATTTCAGTGGATCACCTGAGTAGTGAGAAATTAACATTACTTCCATCAGGGATTAAAAACTTCCAACCTGTAACCTGTTGATTTTTTATACCCCAAAATGTTACTCTGGTGTCTTGTAGGATTTCCTTAGATTCCTACCCAGGACAAATCCAAGAAAGTGGAAAACCTAAAAAAGTATGTTGAAAGCAATGACCGGGAAGTAGTAGGAAAAAAACTTTGCTTTCTGGATGTTAGAAATTCGACAGATTTCTTCCTCACAAAATCTAGAAACAGCTGTGTGAACCTCAAAGAACTGGAAACCTGGTGACTAAACGCAGGAGCAGCAAAGAGTACTGGGAAGCTGACCCTTCTTTTGTTCCAGAAGGGAAGCAATGTACAATGATAGACATACACTCAGAAGACCTAAAGCTGGGAGAACACCAACTTTTCCCAAATATTTCTCCTGTAAGATGTAAATGATGCATGAAAATATAAGACAGACATGAAAAATACATGCAAAACCAGCAAAAGATCCTGTGTATACAGATTTCTATACATGTATATGTGCATATATAATGTGTAAAAAGCATAATTTTTGTTAGTCATATATCATGTAGCTCAATTAAATTTTTAATTATCCCTGTGTCACCCCAACCGGATTGCTAGGTCAGGCGGAATCTTGACTTCTCTTTTTTTTCCTTTTCTAAGAAAACATGCAGCATAACAATCCTGATTATTTCAAGAACAGTAACATTTTGTGTGACATGATTAGCATTTATACTAAATTATTCAGAATGATGACAAAATGCCATTTGGCCTTGACACAGCGTGCACTAGAGCCCAGGAGAAGACTAGATTCTCATTAGACCAGGCCTCCCTGGAAAAACTTTATGACATGACTTTGACGAATGGGTAATCCCATTGCCTCTGAAATTACATACGATTAGCAAAGTAAATAGGAATGGGGTTACTTCCCCATAACAGTGATACGTTATTAGAAGTAATTTACTGCCATATCGACATGTCAGAAAGGGAGGGAAAGGAAAAGGAAAGGAAAGGGAATTATTAGAATAATTTCTCCCTCTTCACCTCCTTTTTTTATAAACCAGGAAGAAGAAACAAAATCCAGAGGACAGGATGGTGGGAAGGTGAGACAAGAAGAAATCAGGTGTGTAGTCTAGGGGAGAACAGATGCTGACAAGCTGGGCTGCTAGCCTCGTAAAAGATGCAGGAATAAGGATGGGGAAAGCTTACATTCCTCGGCAGTCTTGGATTGTTGGTAAGACCTGAGGCATGGCCTCCACTTAAAAGGTTTTGCTGGCACAACCGTATCATTTAGAAGTGTGAAAAAAAATCCCACCCACATCACTACACTCTACTGTAAATCCAGGCCAAGCAGCAAAATAGCCCATTCAGAGACTGGGTTTACACTATATCAGTTAAATGGTTTTGCTAATAAAAGCTGTCTTTAATGTGGGTGTGTGGGAAGGAGATAGTACCTTTTATAAATCTCTTCACGTCTAGATAAACTCTGTTGAAAACTGGAAGCATCAGTAAGTACCTGTTGGTAAACTGGGAATACTGGGCTATCTTTGAAATTAAAAAGCCCAGCTGTTACCATGGCAGCTCTCAAGAGTCAGCAGTTACAGTCCTTTCCTACAGGACTTTTGCCTACGCTGCAAACAGACACATCCCATACCCACTTGCTGTCCCTTCCTCACAAGACTAATTATGTTTTGGTTTCCTCTCCTTAACTTGGTCCTAAGACACACTCCTCCCCACATATCCCTCAGAAATCAGCCTGTTGCTTTCAAAGAAATCCCCCGAGGCCCAATTTTCAGGGGGTGTGACCCATCTAACTTTCTTTGGCTGCCTTTGAGGCCATCCCAACCCCAGTGTCTCCAAGCCCAGCAGAACTCAGGAAATGAGAGCATATGATAAATAGTTTAACTCACACTAGTTTGGCTTTCCATTCTAGCATGATTTTTCAATGTTTTGCATTTAGTAAGATGTCTGTTAACTCAAAAGGCTCTAGTTCAAGAGAATAAATGCAGTGACAGTGGATAGAGACCAGCGTACCAAAGCTTGTTGCTAAAGAAAGCTGGGTGTGCCAGACCACGTATATATGATATATCCATTCAGTTTTGTGACAGATGAAACCTGAGCTCTGAAAAAATTATCTGCCGTGGTTTAAAGCTCAGTAGGTTTAAATCAAAACAAACATGATAACCAGCATTAGGTTTCTGAGCACATCCAGAGCACTCAGCTCACCAGCAGTCATATATTTACAGACTGGCAGCATATGCCCAGTAATAGACAATGAGTCCAATAATAGACAATAAAGCCTGCTGTACAGCCACGTGTAATAGCAACTGATGCCTCTCTCAAGAAAATGTTTTTAAAAATGCTACCTTTTAATACTTCTTTTTTCTCTTACTCCCTCTTTTATGGAGCCAGGGTGGATGCTATAAAAGAAAGAAACATTAATTAGGGTTGTTAAATTCTTAAAAGGAACGTAGCATAAACATCTTCCCCCTTCATTTACCTGATATTGACCACATAGACAGTGTAATTCCAGTTCTGGAAAGTACGGTTTAGCTGAAAAACAGGAAGACATTGATCACATGAATGGTGAGATGTTAATGGGGCTCTTGGTTGCTTAAGACACAGTGAGAATTTCACCCTTCTTCCCCTTGAGAAATCCTCTTCAGGTTTTAAAAGCAAAGAGAACACTCCCATTTCAGTGAGGTGACTGTCACGTTAGATGTACAACTGGTAGTGAGAGGTGTGGGCTTTTTTACTGACAGAAGGAAATCTCTATCAGGTCACGACATAGTGAATAGAAGAGCACACAGGATGCTGAACCTTTCCTTTTCTCCCTCTCTTCCTCATCTTAAATTCTCAGAAGCACTTTGATTAGAAAAGATTTACTGACAAAACTACAGGGTCAATTTTCACCTAAAAGTCTCCAACCTTATGATGATCTTTTTTTCAGACCTTTGTACTATTTATTCTGAGTGGGCAACGGCTGCTCAGTTTTCCCCCAGGATACACTTTTGCATACTCTGCTAGGGCCAAGTGACATCCTTCTAGATTCTTTGGCTCAGGCACCTACATACTTCGCCCGGCTACTGCTGCTAAGAGAATAACCTTGGCAGGTGTAGATGGCTGCATTTCTGGTTTGTAGGTGACTATAGGTGGTTTCCTTAGCTTCTGAAAGCCTCCAGGTTTATTAAAAGAAAAATAAAAAAGAATTGCTATATATTTATGACATCATATTCTCATGTAAGTAGTTGGTATAAAGACTACTTACAGATTGTGTGAGTGCCACTATGTGAACTGTCAAAAAGAACAGAGAATATCTGTATTCAGACAGGAGGAACTTTCAGAGGCAGGAACTTCAACAATCTTTCACCCAGAGGGCCCAGAAAGGAGCTTATGTCTGCTAAAATGAACTGAAAAACCAGGGGCTACAAGAAACCCCAACAACTGACCTATGGCAGAAGACTTCTGAAGTAGAGAATATTAGGGTAAACTGGAAAAGTGTATTGCCTCACACAAATGATCATTGCCTGTTTTTTTATTATTTCTATCACAATATAACTTCAAAACCACATTAGTATTTGGAGAGAAAAATTTTGCCCAATACAGTGATGTTGGAACTTAGACATCCACCTCTTTCAGCGGACAATTCTGATTTCTCCATACTTTCCAAAATCTCAACTAGTATCTACATTTCTTAAGAAGCTTCCCAGTACACTGGAGACATTTCAAAAGTTTATCCATAGTGCCTAATACCCCCAGCTAGACCTGAATTCTTTACTGCACAAATCAGTAAGAGAGAGATCTTCAGAGAACACATATTAATTTAAGAATTCATTTGGTATTCTCTCCTTTTTTTCCTTTTCAGATTGATAACATCAATGGGGAAGATTCATACATGTAATCACACAAGAAAAGAAACTTAACTTACCCATTCTGCAACTGCATCATGTACTTTCGCCACTGAGTTGGAACTAAAGACAGTTATAGATATCCTGTAGAATAGCCCACCTGTCCATTAAAAACAGCATTATAATGTTAGAAACTGAGCAAATGTACCTTTTTAATAATGAGACTTTAATTTCACAATGAATATAAAGATTGGGCTGAAGCCCAGATACAAGGACACCTCAAGCTCTTGTTGGTATTATACAAGTTTGGAGTGAACAAGCCCTGCAGGCTTGGGCCCATTTTCACTAGTCCTGTCCAATTAGACAAGAAATCCCTCCCCCTCCGTATTTTTAGAGACACTTGAAACGTGACATGGAAACTCACAAACTATGTACGTAGAAATAGTATTTTGCATATGCCTTTAATGTGGTGTGTAAAAGCAAGATCATGAAAGTGTCATGAATTTAAAAATCAATCATAATTACTGAAGTCTAACATAGATAAATTCTGCTTTCAGTCATATTGTTATAGTCTAGAATTCAACCACTGCAGATTGGACTTAAAATTTTGTGAGAGCAGATAAGGCTCATCAATTGAGAGTAAGAAGATAACTGAGGACAGAATTAGGTGGGAAAGGGATATCCAGCTCTTGTTTTCACAGCACAGTCTTTGCTCTCAGGCCTGGTGATGACCCAATAGCAGAAGAACCAGCAGCTGAAAAAAAGATCTTTCAGCTACCAAATGTGCAACACTTGGCTTGCAGCAATTTTATATTCAGTAAAATTGTTTTGAAATGGCACCAGGTAAATACAAATTGTCTTTAAGTTCATGAGTTTTGGCAGCATTACAAGATTTCACATCTAATAAATAACATCAAATCACCTCATAGTTATGCTCTATGTTAAAAGTCTATCCTTTTCACAAGTCAAATTTTTTTCATTAAGCTACTAAAAGTTCTGTACGTTCCAGTTGGATAAAATTTCCCAGGATGTGGGGGACGTTTAAGAGCTTCTGCATCAATTCACTCGCATGTATGTGCACATGTGGCATTGCCTGGTTCAGGGCTGTTACTAAATGAAGTTGTGGGTCTTGATCACAGATACCTGTACTTATATAAATCTTACGTAAATCCTACAGAGACACTACACAGGACAGAACAGGACGTGACAACAATTATACAGAAAGCCCTTTCTGTCTCTTGATTGTAAAGGAACTGCTCTATCTTTCTGAGTCTAAATAAAAGACCTTTTATTCTAGGTGGAGCAAATTTAATCACTTTACAACTTCCTAGATAATCATTTTACAAGAGCTTGAAATAAAAGTATCTGGAAAAAAAAATTGAAGTCAGTATTTTCCAATTTAATTGAGCATATTGATTATTATTCTATTCATGAGCTGGCCTGAGTATTGTTCTTACAGAACTAATCATATGATCACTGAGATTAGCATGAAAATTCCTCTGCAATAAAATACCAAAGGATCAATTTCTTGCAGAAAGATGGTTTACCAGTTACCTTCTTTGGTAAACTATGATAAAATTTTAGATACAAGTAGAATGAACTTGCTTGCTTTTTGATTCATTGTCTTTTTTTCCCTCCCTTAACTCACAAATTTGGTGTGCAGTTTAACCTGAAAATGTATTTTAGTTTGTTACTATTACTAAAAGAGAAAAAAAATAAATCTTTGGAAGTAAAAAACTGGGCAAATTGAAAACATTTGCAAGACCTGGATCTCATTTATATGTATATATCTCTGTATATACATATATTCAATTTTAGATGTATAATGTACTTTTTATATGTGCTATACAGATACACACATACAGAAAGTGTGCATTATATATATTCTCACATATTCATATACACTCATATATATAATTATAACCTTATTTATATAATTATGTATATGGACAAAATCACTTTAATATAGGTATATGCAAAGTATTTTTAAAATCAAACATAGTAACTACAAACTAGTCAACAGCTTCAAGATCTCCACCAGATGTAGACCCAAAGCATGTTTTAATGAGGCGAAAAGAGAACAAGAACAAAGAACTAATCCACATTTTAAAACACTCTCAGGAGACTGCAGTGGCAGATAGTGAAAACTAAAAATGATTTCTCGCTCTCCAAATTAAACAGTGGAAATCCCACCTCAAAATGCTGAATGAAAAAAAAAATATTTATATGGGCAGAAAATTGATGAAAAGTAGCCAAAGATAACTTGAAAAAAGAGGAAAAAAGAACCTGCAAAAACAATTCTCCCCACACCCACCACCAACTACAAAAATATAATGATCAATGAAATACCAGGATTCGTTTTTTTTAATTATGTTAGGTAAATTATCCAAAAGTTTCTTTCAGAAAATCTTTGCTTTTTGAAAGTTAAATGCTCAAAAACATATGAATACTGTAAGTGAGAAACATTCCTACAATCTCAAACAATAAAATGGCACAAAAGTATGAGACATATGGCAACACAATCCTCACAGTCTCATGAGAGTTGTCTTAGAGAAGTACATAAAAATTAGAAATCACACATTAATGACATTTACTATCACTAAGATGTTACAAATTCCCTTCTACTGTAATTAAATTACTATTCCAAAATCTTTTCATATGCGAAATGAGTCTATATCTAAAGGATGAAAGCCAGCTACTTCTATGTTCAGTCTACCAACTGAGTATCTAATAGATAAGATGATTTGGTTTTTTTCTACATCTAACTTAACGGTTTGACATACTGTAGTTGACCTCAGGTCGACACAGGCAGCCCAGTTCAGCGAAGGAGTAACATAAACAAGATAAAAAGACTGCAGGAGAGCTAGTAAGTTGATTCAGTGGTGGGTAACGGGTGGTATTTTGGCTTGTCCCAGATGATAAACTGGCCAAGGAATGAGCATGTGTTGAAAGTGATGACTGGTGGGATGTTACAGAAGAAAATGGCATTTGGGACTGCATGAAAGAGTGATGCATTGCAGCTGCAGGTGTTGTCAGACTGCCCTTCGAGGTGGTCTCTTTGTGCTGAATAACTCCTCCACTGTATGAAGATAGCAAAGGTATTGCATCATTCATTGTTGCAGTTTGTGATGATTCCAAAATAGAAGAGAGATTTGCCAAATGTCCATAATCAGCATCTTCAAAATCCAAGGCATGAGTACTAACAATATTCAGAGAAGACATTCCTTCTCTGTGCTTGCTAAAGGATCCATACACCTCCCCTTCCGAATCCCATTCGGAAAGCCTCAATATGTTTGTTGACGTCAGAACAGCAGAATTCCTTCTGTTTTCATTATCACCAATGATTTCTTGTTCTACAGCCCATAGAGAGTATCTCAGACTGTCCCTTTGTTTTTCAATGGAGTTTTGTTCTAGAACAGTTAGATGACTTGTCGGTGTTACTGCTGTTGGCAACCTTAACTCTGCTACATCCCACTGAGGGATCAGGCTTGGAGAAATTGTATCAAGATGGTTCTGAAAACTTTGTGGGAGTGGAGGTGTGGAGTAGCTGTTGGGAGGTATACTGACTTTAAATTTCAAGTCTGAATGAAGAAGGTACCTTAATTCCAAAGACAATGTCACTGGAAGGAAGTCAGAACTCATCAAATTGAGGTTTTTTAAAAAAACATCTGAATCTATTTGAACTTTACTTCTTGCTTTATCAATAGCATTTATTACAGCCTCATTTGCTGAAAGACTTTGAGACTGCAGTGATCCGTATGTTCCTGTAGTGTTTACCAAACTCTTAGCTGGTGTATTGATCAAGACAGCAGCCTGGCTATCTCTTGAACATGAAGGCTGCATTCCTGAATGTGTTGGAAGGACAGAAACAATCTGCTGCCTATTGCTTAGGAAGGTCACGTTGGTTTGATGACTTACTATGTCAGCTCCAATTTGCATGTGCAAACTATCAAATATCGCTAATTTTTCTGTGGAGTTTTCAAGTACGTTATCAAAGGGACTTACCTGTACCTCTACAGAGGGTTGACTCAAAGGTGCTTCCAGGGAAGGAAAAGGAAAATCAAAATAAAATTCACTGTTGGAAGACACAGTTAGGTTTGCAAAGTTCACATTTGACTGCAACTGTGATATTGTCCTGCCATTACTTTCTGAAATTCTCTTTGAAATGCCTGGAATAAACAAACTAAAGATTTGTGTTTCCAAAGCTGATGCATGACTATAGAAGTTCATTTCTTCAGCCCTGTGACCTAATAATCTAATGACAGATATTTGTTCAGAGATACTGTCAGACTTAGCAGGTTAACTAATGGATGGCAATCTCTCTGTTGGGGAAGAAAGTAGTTTATTAAATGAGAGCCACCAATTTTCTGACGGCTCCCCAGAAAACACTTCAGATGCTTCCTTCAAATGATAGGAAACAGTCCAGAAACTTGCTGTTAAAGAAGGGGAAATATCTACATATTCTGTTGGAAAATCCAAGTAACCTGAGTCCCAGGAGTTGCCAACTCTATTTATGTTGTCTGGCTCTAATATGGAAAAAGCTGAGTCTTCATTTTCATTACTATCACGAAATGCATCTAAATTGTTCTCCAGTACTCCATTTCTGAGGGTCTCACTTGGCTTTTGAAAATATACTGAATGTTTTAAATAATGAGACCAGTAATCGCTATTAGATACAAATATGCTGTCACTTTCCAAATTTATGTTAGTCAATGATTGTTGGTAAACAGGCCGGGTCGTTACAACATGCTTAAATGCTGAGCTTGTCCAGTCTGTTCCTAATGGAAGTGCTGAAAAGGTTTGTAGTTCTTTACTGTGTTCTAGGATTGAATTTGTCAGTGGGATGTCAGGTATAAATTTTGTGTATGTTTTTTTCATGTTTTGAAAAAAAGTTGTTGGGTTTGCACATGGAGTCTCCACAGAGGTTAGATTTGTAATGCCTCCTGGGTGATGTTCCTTAACGTCAGTAGATCTTCTAAACTGAAATTCACTGTTTGCTGCTAACATAGAAAAAGTTTTCCTATCAACATTGCCTTCTATCATTGCTAGGTAAAAATTTTCCGGTGTGAAGTCTAGCAAACCTAGGCTACTTTTTTGGAATGATGATTTCTCCTCTGTAGGTGACATAGATAAACTAGAAAGAGAATTATGTCTGTCTTCTTGAATGTCAGAGGTCATATGATGATGGAATACAGTCTCACTCCACCAACTCACAGGCTCCGAGACGTTGCTTATATGCATGAAATTGGTTGTGCCACTGCTGGAGGATGAAATCCACACAGTTTCTTTTTTGTCTTCATAAGCAGTGCTGCTGCTGTTAATGGGCGAGTGGAACGCTGACTCAGAGTCAGAATGATCTAGCCCATCTGCCAAAGTCCGTGCTAGCTCTGCATTAGGAATTCTGCTTTGAAGAAGAGGAACTGCTGCATTCACAGAAGGCTCTGTAACAGCATCTGCTGCATCAGAACTGCCATGAAATGAACTTCTAGAATCATTCAAAATATTTTCATTTGGTAACTGATTCATCACAGTATTATCTAGGTCAATTTTTTCTGTAAAAGCAGCCAAGGTATTGCCGGTCTCCTCGGAAGAAGCTGATGTGGACGTAGCTGGATGAAACAAGTTGTACGTGGTTCTTCTCTCTGGGTTCTCATCTGCTGAGTTTTTACTGAAACGGAGAGGCCTTTGTTTCACTGGCCAAATAATTGGAGTTGAGATAATTCCTATGTTTTTGACCCCTTCTATCTTAGACTCTTGCTGCCTCTGTGGTCGTGAATGGGAGGATTCAGGTGAATTTCTCTTCATTCTGAAGATAACCGTAGCAGGAAGTCTGAATTCCTGCAGGTCTGTGTGTAGTAAGCCACATAGTTAATAGATTAAAGAAAATATACGCAACTTAACTGTCTGTTCTTGGCTGTGTGCTCTGGGTCTAAAAATCAGCTTACCAAGAGTGGAAAATGACGCCAGTTAGCTGACTGAAAGTTTAATTTGCTTCTACTGTAAATGAATTTGGCTTATTTTTCTCAGTCTTTCTACTTACTCTTGGGAGTTTCAAAACCAAAGAAAGGACTTATTTGTCCAGTTTTTATTCATACTAACAGTAATAAGACATTCAGTTCCTTCCGTAGTTACAAAAGTCAGAGTTAACTGCTCACGGTGAACATAGAGTGAGTAGCTCCACAAAAAGAAAAAAGCACAAATTGGAAGAAATTTTCAGTATTTTCTTCTTACTTCTACAGCTTAGTAAATCCAAACGGGCTGAATTCAGATAAATTCTTTCACTTTGTCTACTGTACTGCCTGATTGCCAAATGTACAAGAAATGATCTGCCAAGAGAAAAAATACTCCAAGAATTTTAAATCCTATGGTAACAACTGATGCATTTGGGGGAAAAAAAGAACAACAACAAAAACACAAGCCCCCTCCCCCAGATTCTAATTTATTCCTGTGGAGCACAGTAAAAAAGTAAATCTTTACAAAAAATATGTTTAAGCCTCAGATGAAAATTGCAGAAATCTATCTCTGTGTTGTTAATAATGTTTAACAACTATCTTTAACAAATTAATAAAAATTTTAGCAGCACCTCACAAAATGATGCTCAGTCTCTAGGAGACAGTGATATCACAGAATTTCAGAAAACCTTAAAAGAAATCCCTGCTTTTTCCCTGTGCTAATAATAGGCTCATTTACTACCTTATTTTTTCCCTTAATCTTTCTAAATGAAAAGTAAACGATATCTGATACTGTCAACATTTTCCCTAGTAAATTCTGATCCAGCTCTTCTTGAAGTCAGTGGAAAGATTCCTGTTGACTCAGTGGAAGTGGCTTTGCTCCACAGGAACGACTCCACTTGGCTCCTGTGCCTGACTAGTGAGGAACAGACCATCCCAGCATTCTACCACCCTGGCTGCACAAGCCGGAGCTACACAATGCCTTATAATCTGCAGCCTTAAAACGTTTCAACAGCATGGTTCTTTTTGGACCCTTTTTAAAAATCCCATTCCTTTCCCTCGTTCTTTGCATGCGTAAACACAACAGGTGACACAAAGTGAGTCCCTTTTGTACAAGAGCCAGGTAAACATGATACAAATAAACACTGAGTTCGGTTCTGTTCTCATTTACACCATTCTTACATGGTCCAGTGAAGTTACTCCTGATTTAATTCAGTGTAAATGAGATCAGAACCAAGGCATGACCCTTGACATTATGATAGTACGAAAAACACACCTTAAAATACAATAAATTTGCTCTAGACACAGTACAAGGAAAAATGTAACACAGGATTTCTTACCATTGTTTGGCTTATCGTTTCTATTAGTATCGGGCATGTTAGTGGTGACAGTGGGTGGTGTAGGAGTAGTAGCATTTACAGTAGCTGGTAACAAAGATGAGAAAGAGGTGAACTTGAATGAAATATGAATGTTAATAAGGTAAGACAAAATGGGAAAAACGCATGACAATGTAAAATGAAACCATCTACACACAATGCCATAAATGTTAAATAAACATTTTTTCTGCACAAAGTGATGAATGGATATGAACTGAGGTCCCAATCCTGCAATCTTCACTTTGACTGACTTCAGTGGGAGTTTTGCCAGTGTAAGGTTTGCAAGATCAGTCCTGTACTGCTTTCATAAACTCAAAATCCTCTTATGAGAGCTTCAGATCCAAACAGCTGTGCAAAGACCAGAAAGTAGATCTTGTAAGTTCTAAGGTGCATGCACTTAGAATATTGCTTGTGGAAAGAATAATTGTCCTTACTCAGGTACAGAAGATGACAAACAAATGTGAAACTAAAACACCTGTGTAAGGATCCAATTAACTCCATTGAACTCCGTACAATGAAGAGAATTGAAATCAGACTTGGAATAATTGAAGCAGAATATATACCTTGAAAGCTTCATGTAGGATCTCAGCTGCACTGTTCCCACTGACACTAACAGGAGTCACTCCCCAGAACCCTGGCAAATGTTTCCCAGGACAACCAGCTAGAACACTTTTCAAAATCAGACTGTGGAGCCAAAACTGCAAATTTCCCCCACAGCAGATTGGGAAGGTATAAATGGTAGAGGAATTCGAACATCATGCCACTAAATTTTCAAATACTAGTTTGGAAAATAATTTAATCTTATCTAGTAACTCCCTGGGAATGCAGATCCACACACTGACAGATTTTTTTTTTCCTGAAAACTTTTTAAAACCTGAAGGTTGGTGCAGCTTAATCTCAGAGTGTTACACGGCTCTTGCAGATTGCACTTTTGATTTTTTGTGAGGTTGTTTTAGCTAACCTTTTCAGTCTGAAAGTCATAAACTCAGGTCTCAGCTTAGGGACCAGGTTCATGTTCAGGTTTCAGTGAAACAAGAAACTTGGGGAAAGAGAAGGAAGAGTTGGACACTGCAGCAAACAGGTTCTAACTGGGAAAGTGAGTATATAAAGTGACATCCTATAATACAAAAAAGCTCTTCTTCCATGAAACTTCAGGGTTGTCTATATTCTCAGAATATATTGTCTGAGAAACAAGTTATAATGCTTCTTACTGATTGTGTCTTCCAGTCAACACTGTTAAAAGAGGCATCTTCCAATGAATGAAAATATTTACTAAGCATAATGGAGAAAACAGCTCTTTCATCAGACACTAGCTGACATAATCTGGCATCCACAAACTTTGTTACTGGTGCTATTGCACAACACACAACAAACAAACAAAAAACGAATCCAAACTGGCCTCTCAGTTTAAAATAAGTCTGCGGCGGTGACAGAAATTGACAGACAGACATCTTTTTATGATTTTCATTATTACAACAATAATGATCATGATGATGAAGAGGGTAAATCTGATCTGCCACTTCCAAAGTGACAAACATAGAACACCAGTGACACTGTATCGAACACTCTTCAGAGAAGGAAAGAGTATTACCTTCACGAAAGTACTCATAGTCTTTATTGAAATGTGATGGTCTAAGAAGTTAAAAGAGGCAAGTTTGAAAGGAGGCATCTTTTATTAGAGGCAATTATCTTCTACTAGACAAGTTAATAAAGCTGGAAAAAAGGATGAGGTTTTTAGAAAAGCAGGTTTGTTTCGCTGAAAGTATGTCCATCTCTGCAGCCATATTAGCTGACCTAATGAAAGATATTCTCTCTCCTTTCACACCATGTCATTTTGATAGAGGAAAATGCTCAGAGTTCTTCCAAGAGAATACACAAAGTTCTTTAAATGGTGGCTGTATTACTCTTTACATACAAATAGACTAATACTGAACAATTGTCGCTGTCACATTTACCTACAGTATTCAAGTAGTACTATTTAGATCATACTATGCTTTGTGAATATGATACCTGAAAAATACTGTTTAAAATCTGACTACGGACATAACTGGCATTCTACTTTCCCTGTGGAGATCAGTACAACATGCTCCAAGAACTTGACGCAAATTTACCTCAGGAAAATCTGGGAGAAGTACACTGAAGACTGACATAGATCTCTTACTAGGTCCCCAAGAAAGTGCATTTTCCTTTTTATTTTTAAGCTAAATCTGATTTACTTGTAAATGTCAGTTTTGAAAGAGTTCTGAGACTTCCTCCTCCTCTTTTGTATTTCATTCTCTCCCGTCTCCTTCTTCCACCATTCAGCCTGAAAAGGGTTACAGAGCTAGACATTGGTTTTGGTGCACCTGCTGCTGTGATTAAAGTTTAAGGCAGCATGCCACCTCATTAGCAGGTCTGTGTTCATGAAGGTATTGTGGAAATGGGCTGATGTCGTTCATGTCAAGCATTTTTATACAACTTCAGCCTCCAAGAAGAGCAGAAGGAATTAACTGTCCTTGCATGTCCAACGATTCACATGGCATTGAAATCTCTAGGGTTGACCTATTCCTTGCATTCAACTGAGCTGACCTTTAAAGACATCTCATGAATTCTCATACGTGATGATTTTTACACTATTAAACCATCACTAAGTGCTGTAACAAGTGTTCCATTAACTAACAGCTGCTGGATTTTGCAGTTTGATGTTAAATTTTTACCTACTAATCTCAAAGTATCTATCCTCAAAAGAGCTTATTGGAAAAAAATGAGTAATAGTCAGTTCCTTTATTTACATCTGCTCATTTTTTATTTACAGATGTACCCATTTCTTATCCTGGTTAATATTTTACTGTCAAAATGTGCAGAAGGAAAAGAGATTGAGAAAGAAATGAAAGCAGTCAATTAATTCAGTTTTGATATAATGGAGACTATTTGGAAAACGTATTATCAAGGGAGTGATCACATTTTTTCCACATATTGTACGTACAGGACACCCACACACTTGATGAGACTGAAGAATTCCTTTCCTTGCTATTTTTTATTGCAGTTCACCCTTTTAGAAACAATAATAAAAAAGAAATGGAATGGAAAACCCAAGGAAAATAAAGATTTCCCAAAGATGGAACTGTGAGAATGACCTGGGCTTCTTACCTTGGCAAAGGCTTCCCAGGTTTGCACAACTGGTTGGTTCAATTGCAGAAGAGGGAATTAGGTATGAACCTTTAGAAAAAGAAAGTAAAATAATTAGAAAGGTTTGGCTATTGGGCATAAAACTATCATGTCTCAAAATACATTGTATCTTGCAGTGACACAGTCCTCTTAATTTCTCTCAGTGGCAAAACTGATACTGCCGTTTGCCTATAAAACTTATGGTTTTCATTTTTTGTTGCAGCTGAGGGATCCATGAAAATGCCGCTGACTTGCACGTTACAGTCACTTACGTATCCTCCCCCTGTTTTCTTAGCTTTTGCTAAATAACATCACATTAAATGACTGCAGCTTGTGTGTACTCTCTGAAACGGCTTTAAGCGGAGGGGTCAGTATGGCCATAGGATTCATGCAATCTTCATGAGTCATAACGCGTGCCTTGGAGAACCAACCTCGCTCTGCTGCTGTAGCACAGGTTACCCACCACACACTTCTGAGTAATCTGCCTGTGACAGACACCAACCAGATAAAAGCTGATTAAACTTGCTCCTCTGCCCAGGGCATGGGTGTGATTAATATTCTGGTATGCGTGATTTATAAGGAGATAATGTTATAAGTCTGTATCTCTACTGAATTATTCAGAACAACACGCACACACTTTGATGATCTGGAGACAAAACCAGGGCATATAAGAATGGCTACAGAAAAAGAACTGGTGAAAATGCATTAATTACACTTTGTGTATCCCAGCGGTTAAGCTGCACATACAGCTGCTTTTGCACACTGTGTTGAAAATAATGGGGCCATAGATCACGGCATAATCTGAACTGACTGGGAGCGTTGCCCTTTCAGCTTTTGCTTTACCACTTCATAATCATATTGACTCAATGAGGTTCTCTCATGAAACACTGTATCCTTCCATAAAATTAAAGAGCCACCACCCATCAGCTTGTAAAGATAGCTAGGGAAATATTTCCTGTGATGCAAGAACAGATGAAGCATGGGGCCTTGACACAGAAATCATGACACGCCACAGATACCATTACATATATTGCTCACAAATACAGGGCAGAATTTAAAACCTGTGATCCTCAAAGAATATTAAAGCTTGGCTTTTTTTTTTTTTTAATGGATTAAGAGATACAGGCAAATTCACTTCCTTGGTACGCTTCCTATGAACTCCAGGAAGGACGTTCTAAGTGAACATACTACCTCATGCATGAGGGTTTTCTTTTTTTTTTTTTTTCCCCAAAATATATTTGCTAATATTAAACAGTTAATATCAAAATCTGCTGTGAGTTATCTCCTCTTGGTTCTGTATGACGGAGAGATCACCTGAAAGTTGGCTTGGAAAAATCTGTGAACTTTCATATTTTCTTCAGTAAGTATTTAAAAAAAGATCATGATTTCATTTGGTGAAACTAAAATAAATCCAGTCTAACTTACAAAACACTCAAGTCAGAAGACTGATGTATTGGGTTTGTATGGCAAGGTTTTG